TTTGGGCTCCTTGCCCTCCACGGTCGACTAAGTTCCAGGAGACTATGGAGCATCTCTCAAAATGTCCTATAACTATGGTGAGCCACCTGTGCGCCTGTTCAGGGAGACCATAGAGACCCTACCAGATGGACTTAAACCAGTGTCCAGTCTACAAAGAGGAGGGTCAACTCAGAGGAAACATTTCTTCCATGCTTCCAAATGAAGCCAGCCACGGTTGAGCAGGAACTTTGGCTTATCTTCACATAGATGGAACTGGTAAAAGAAAGGAGCCAGGGGCTCCTCCCAAGCCCAAGCAACCCCTGAGGAACAGATCCTCCAATGACCTGAAGAATAAAAATAAATTGGTTTATTTGGGCCAACTATATGGTCTTAAACACCCAAAAGGAAAGTATAACCAAAGATTAAAGTGAACAGTATATTCCTTTAAGAGTTCAAGGCATTACACTTCCTAGACATTAGGCTTACGTTCATATAAAATGTTATTTAAACAATTATTTCTCATTGATTATTTTGTTTCTATAAGCAGAAAGTGCTGCTCGGATGTTAAGACTTCAAATCTTGGTCTCCAATACTGCAGTGCCCACCTGTAGCTAAGGGAGATAACCCACTATTTTTCTAATATGATGGCTAAATTTGTTTTCTCCCCCTATCTAGAAGTCTTTGAGAAGGAACTGACACGGATTCTAACCACTCCAACAGCTATCAAAGTGCCTAAAAACAAATCCTGAGTCCATCACACTCAAGTCCAGCCTTGGCAGACAAAAGAAAATGAGGAGGAACCCAATAGAGGGATGCTTTTGGAAGTTCTCATCAAGAAATCCCAATGGACTCTGACATAACATTTGAAATTTGTGCACACTTATACACATAATTAAAAGTAAAGCCTTAAAGCCGGGCATGGTGGCACATACCTTTAATCCCAGCACTTGGAAGGCAGAGTCAGGTGGATCTCTGTGAGTTCAAGGCCAGCCTAGTCTACATAATGAGTTTCAGGACAGCTGGGGCTACAGGGAGACCCTGTCTCAAAAAGACCAAAAAAAAAAAAAAAAAAGTAAAGCCTTAAAAGTAATGAAAATGGGGCTAGAGAGATAGCTCGGCAGTTAAGAGCACTGGCTGTTCTTGCAGAGGACCCAGGTTCTGTTCCCAGCACTCACAAGGTGGCTTACAACTATTTGTAACTCCAGTTCCAGGAGATCTGACACCCTCCTCTGATCTCTTTGAGAACTGTATGACATGTGCCCTTACACACATGCAGGCAAAACACTCATACACAAAGTATAGAGAATAAGAGTCTGCAGAGTGTGGGTCCTTGGACAGGACTCCAGACTCCTATATTAAACTCTACCCACTCAGGGCTCAGGGACTATTGTGGAAGAGGGGGCAGAAAGATCCTAAGAGCCAGGCAGGAGGTGCACGAACATATGGAAATAGAGTCCTACAGGCTCCTGGGACCGTGCTCATATACAGCAATGGTGTAAGTACGCACAAGACCCATGCAAACTCAGACAAAAACCCAGCACAGAACTGTGGAAATGGGCAGCAAGCCCCAATCTTAGTCAAAGAACTATTGACAGATGATTATTGCTGGGTGAAGAAGAGTTGACCTTCTTAAAGGCACTCTAGATAGGCTGAATAGACCTCAGTGGATGAACTTGCACTTGATGGATATCTGAGTACACTAACTTGACTTGATAGGCCTTTACACAGTTGACAGAATGCCTGAATTCCAGTGGGGTGAGAGGGTGCCAATGGAGAAGAGGGTACAAAAATGATTAAGATGTTATGTATGAAATACATAAAAATTCAATAAATAAATAAACTTGGGTCCCTTCCCCCCCAAAAAAAACCCCTTCCTGTAAGGTATTTACTAGCAGACCAGCATGTTCCACAACCAAAAAGTTAAGAATGTCATCAGATAGCATCAAAGACTCACAGTAGAACCCCCATCCCTGCTTTGCTATAGTCTGCCTACCAAATGTATCTACCAATGTATCTAAAGTGCCTTTATGACTTTGTTCTGTTACTATAAAAACTCCATGAAACTGCTTTCACACTGGAACATGGTATTTGGAGAAACCTAAATCTGTGTTCCCAGGCCATGGTCACTCATATTTGGCTCCAGAATAAACTATCTCTTTTCTCCTTTGAAGTGAGAGTTATGCTTTTGTGTTGACAAGAATTACCAATGCAGTCTTCTAAAACTGACTGAGAAATAGGAATATTTCATGAAAAGCACTAACGCTAAAGCAGCTCATGACCACCAAGCAGAATGGCGCATGCGTGTGTAGGCCTGAAGTCAACATCAGGTGTCCCTTGTTTACTCTCCCACTTTAACTGCTTTTTTTGTGTTTTTGTTTTTGAGACAGGTCTCCCTGTAGTCCAACTGGCCTGGAACTCACTATGTAGACCAAGCGGGCTTCAATCTCAATCTCACAGAGATCCACCTGCCTCTGCCTCCCAAGTGCTTCATTTTCGAGACCTTAATTTTTGAGGCAGGGTCTCTGATTGAACCTGGAGTTCACTGAGCTAGCTAGGCTGGCCAGTCAATGAGCTCCAGGGATCTGCCTGCCTCTACCCCAGCTCTGCAGTTACAGATATATGACAATATGCCTAGCTTTTACATGAGTGCAGGAACCTAAACTCAGGCCCTCATCCTCTGTCATCAGGCACTTTATCACCTACACCATTTCCCCAGCCCTCAAGCAGGGGATTCTTAAAGGAATCCTAAATACAGAGAAAAAAGTCTCAAGCAATAGAGAGCATAGGAAAGAATACGTTTGTTAAGAGGAGATGAACAAAGATGAACTAAGAACTCATGCTGTCCAACACAGAAGACCAGCAAACTCCTAATATAAATAAAGGAGAAAGAAAAGAACAAACAATAATCCCATTAACCAGGAAAACAGCAAACAAAACTATAGGAAAAAGCAAACCTCTCTCAAAAATTACCATATAAATGGTCTTAACTCTCATGGAGAGATGGCTCAACAGATAAGAGTACTTGCTATTCTTGCAGAGGACCCAGGTTCAATTTCCAACACCCACATGATGGCTAACAACTGTCCTTAACTCCAGTTCTAAGGGGGATCCCATGCCTCTTCTGATCTTCACAGGCATTGCACACACATGGTGTACCTACATAAATGCAAGCAAAACATTCATACACACAAATCAATTTTTTTTTAATTTAAAGATGCAGACTATCAGACTTTCTTAAAAAGATCCAATAAGCTGATAGCTCTAAGAAACACCCACACTGGCAAAGACACAAACTAAGAATGAAAGTATAGAAGTCAAATTTACCAGGTAAAGGTGAGCCAAAACAAAACTAGAATAGCTATTCTGATAACTGATAAAGTATACTTTAGCCAAAATCAGTGAGAAGTGGTAACATCCACCATACATTAATAAACAGATCAACCTATCAAGAGGACAACAACTGTAAATACATATGCACTAAATGTTGGGGTTCCCAATTTCATGAAACACTAATGTACATAAAAGATCACATGGGTTTTTAATACAATAGAAGTGGTTGCTTTTAACTTCCCATACTTATCAGTAGATAGGTCATGTAGACTAAAAGCCAATAAAGAAACTTCAGAGTTAATCTGCACATTACCAAATGGATTTAATTTACATTTACATAATATTCCATCCAACAGCAGCAGAATGCACATTCTTCTCAGCAGCCCATCGAAGTTTCTTTAAAATACTAGATCACATCTTAGGCTATAAATCAAGCCTGGCAGGTTCTCCCGCACTCCAGAGACTCCCCAACTGACACATGCTAGGATGCTAATACTCTCTAGCCAAGGGGTATCTCCTGAGTATAAGTGAATGAGGGAAAAGAGTACTGAGATCAGTACTAGAGGACCAGTCTTAGTACTTTCAAACCCTATTCAACATTAAACACTGTGAGAGGCTGCAAAAATTAAGTACTCAGCTACAGCTTCAGAGTTCTGTCCAGTAGTGAACCTCATGATAGTAGCCACTGACTCTGGGCTTATGACTCCACAGTCATCCTCAGATGTTGTGACCTGCTTCTTATCAGAGTAGAGCTATGACCACTATGCCCTTTCCTTCCTGAGCCTCCTGACATCTGAACTACTTAGCTGTATGCAGCCTTATCCCTCTCTACAACTGGTTCCTGTGGCCATCTCCCACCCAGGGACTGTTGACTGTTCCTTGTTTTCAGGCCTCCAGAATAGCTCAGTCTTAAACAATAAGCTCCCTCTGAAGATGGCACCCGGCCACAACCCTGTGAGACATGGGGAGAGACAAACATCTGGCAGGTCTGCCACACAGGAGTCAGTCTTACTAAATCACACAACTGGATTGGAGGTTGCAGAAACTGTGAGCTTGTACTAAGGGGAAGACTACCAGTCTCTTTACCAGGGCTACCTGCTTCTTTGTGGAGGGATGTTCACCTCTCCCCTGCCAGGGAGCTACAGCCAAATCCATGCCCTGCTGATTCCTTTTCAGTGTACTGCTCTTCATTTCTCCACACTTTCCAGTCATCTTATGATTTACTTTAATCCTGTGATCTTTTTCTATGGAATAGTGTTATCTTACCTCTTCTCAGTCATTCTGTCACACAGAGGCAGATTCTAATCTACCATCTTACCCTCCAGTCTTCCCAGTGTGACAAGTGTTTATGAATGTGAAGACCAGAGTTCTGTATCAGGTGTCTTCTTTAGAGCTCTTTATTTTGTGAGCTCTTTATTTCTGGAATCTTCCTGTCTCTGCCTCCCAGTGCTGGGTTATAGGCTTTCTCACATGGGTTCTGGAAATAGAACTCAGGTCTTCATGTGTGCACTGACTGAGCATCTCCACTGTCCACCCCTGAAGACTTTTACATCAGTCTTTTAACAACAGAAAAAAGACAAGTAAGGTGCCTGAAATTCAAAACTGTTTTTCAAACAATTCAGGGAATTTTGTTTGTATAAAAAATTTTTAATTCCTATTTTAAACAGTATTCCAAAGCAAAAAAAAAAAAAAACCACACATGTAAATTATAAATACAAAAGTTTTCAAAAACATATAAAAGATACAATACAAAAACCATTTTACATACACAAAGTCCAATGCAATTCTTCACATAAAAAGATATAGCAAGGAAAGTGCTTAACAGTGCTAGTCCACAGACCACAAACAAAGCCTTGGCCAACCCAGCAGCTGTGACAGAGCTGCACGTGTCTCTTCTTCCCACATGTCACCTGTCTTCCCATTTTTTTTTCCAGTTTTTTTTTTTTAAAAAAAAACAAAGGTTAAGACTTTTAAAAATTGATGTTTCTTGTTTTACTTTAATAATCCAGCTACAGATCAGATGAGCCTGAAAACATCTGAAAATCAAATCATGATTTGATTATTATTTGATTGATTTTATTATTCTTAGCAAATTCAAAGCAAGACACACTATTTACAGTTTTGTTTTTTATTTGTTTGGGTTTTTTGCTTTTTTGAGACAGGGTCTCCTTGTAGCCCCAGCTGGCCTGAACTCAATATGTAGACCAGGCTGGCCTCTATCTCACAGAGATCCATCTGCTGCTGCCTCTCAAGTGTTAGGATTAAAGGTGTATGCTACCACACTCAGCAGAAATTTATTTTTGTAAAATTAAGATTTTTCACTTACCACATTTGCTACAATCACACTAAGTTTGTAAACTAGTTCCTCAACCTACCAAAACAAAAATAAACGAAATAAGCCAAAAAACTTCCTTAACAGTATAAAAGAGTTTATTCGGTGTACTTACAGTTCCTGCAAATGCCATACAGGAATATCTAATCTAAAATACATCTAAGGGCTGAGGGTGTAGATCAATGGGAGAGTGCCTGTTTAGCACTGGTGAGGCCCTGGGTTCAATCTTCAGCACCACAAAGAAATACAAAATCAAATACAGGAGTTTACTACCTCTACCCACACCACATCTATTGATATGCACCAGTAATAGAAATGGGCTCATTGCTTATCTACCACTAATACAAATATTTATTAATTCCTGTTGCAAAAACAGTATATTTTCATTTTATTTTTATAAGAAAATGACATCTATTATTAATTTATCTCTATTGGCCTTAATATTTCACAGGAAAATGTTTAAGCTTCAACTTAAGATCTTAAAAGGAGGTTAAAAAAAAAAAAAACTAGTTGGTATTGATAAGTTTTTCCTGCATCAAAAGCCATCTCCTCTCAGCTACATTCGAGTCAGAGCAGGAGGATCACTGGAGCCCAAGAGTTTGAGGCCAGCCTGGGTAACACAATAGAACCTTGTTCCACAGAGAGAGGGAAAGAAAGTCAGGTTGTTAGGAAGGAGAACATTCTCATCTTCAGAGTCTGAGAGATACCTGCACTGCACAGAAAATCATACACAATTCTCTTGAAGTTCACTGAGAGAATAGTACTGACAATACCATTTCGCTGAAAGTAAATGAACTAGAAGAAAAATATGTTTTACTATTTCACATTTTCTAGAAAAGTATTATTTATACTTATTGGCCCCTTACCAATTCTGATTTGTTAATATTTAACTATGGAGCAACTGCTTTTAGGGAAAAAAAAATGAAGATTAAGAAAGCTCAAGCTTAGTCAAACAGTAAGCAAAAAGACTGAGAGAGGGCAGGATGGTGCTCAACTCGGATACTGACAACTAGAGTCCAATTACACACAGGGCTCCCATCAGCCACAGAGAGAAATCTAACACAAAGTTTTTGCTTCATAGAAAGAAACGTTAAAATCCAATACTCACTGAGTTACTTAAAAGAAATGTTCCAGACTGTGCACTCAGACACAATATTAAAACAAATTTCAAGAGTGCAAATAAGCCAACAAGACTGTATCTGGGAGAACCATACCCACGTGGTTACGTAAGTGTGGTCCAGAAAACAGGCCACCGTTTTACCTTGGGGCATAGACGTCATAATGATGGCATCAAAATGAGAATATTCTCATTAATTACGTCAGCCAACTTGAATCATCAAGAGAGAATTTTACCAAAAGTGTAACAAGGTACACACTTACATTTTCATTTGCATATTAGTGACAAATTGTTAATAACAATGATGATTATGGAAAACAAGGTTAAAGATATGGTCATTCGGGAAATGGCTGTTACATCATTCATCTGACCACAAACACTTTTGCAATAAGCGCAATACTGCAATACAATTCACAGCTTTATAAAAAGTTGATACAGAGTTTCGCTTTTTTTTCAATTAAAAATTAAGGAGATGAACTACATTAATAGCCATTTTACTCTAAAATCTGTAAAATATATAAAATACCAAGATTATCTACAGTCACATATGTTTTGAAGTCAGGAGACACATGTATTTTCTTCAGATTTGTTCCCTTTGTGTAGAAGATCTGTGAGGATTCTCCAGTGACGACATTCCACCACTGTTCAGAGAAAAATAAAACTCTCATTAGGCTGGTAATTATAGTGAATGATCATTTGTAGGACCAGCCAGATCCTTTACCCTACCACTTCCCCACTCTTAAACCAAGCAAACAGCAGGAATGATCCTAAGAGGTTTACTGCTGAAGAATGGTCAACCTCTGTTGATTAACCCTGATCATGACCTTAAGGCCAGGAGCACACTCAGTGCTACTGCAAGGCAGTATGTTATGGAGGGGCTAGGCTGAACTCTCCTGTCTGCATGTCTTCTTCATGGAATGGGCAAATGACTGCTTCTCCTCACTAACACGCCCTTTTGCAGTCATAGACTGGTACTCTGACAGATACCCAAACTATTTATGATCCAGACAAGGAACGAGAATGTTTTTTCCTATTGAATTTTCTTTTTCACCAGGAGTAATGCAAGAGGCCCTGCTGTAAGGTTGCTTATGTGATAAGTACTGATTGCCCTCAACTGAAGCAGATGCTCTCACGAAGTCCTTCCTTTTTTTCCCCATCATTGAATTCACTGCTTACAGCAGTATTTTTACCAAATCCACAAAGCTTACCCTTGTATCTCAGAGATAAAATGAGGGCAAAGACAATGCACACAGTCATATTTTAGAAAGGCCCAAGCCTTAGGAACACAGTAAGTGTGCACATCTTTGTGCTCGTGACAGAGCCTGGCATTCTGTCTGGCATTTGTGGCAGTGCTGAATATTTGTCTTCACTCTTAGTACTAGGAACTGGTTAAAGTGCACACCATGGAGTCTGCTAAAGCTTACTGAAGCAGCACACACCCAAGACTGTCCCGAACTGGCACGTCTGTTTTCTAGAATAACAATGTAACCGAAAGTGCAAGGACACGAGTCAGTCCCTGAGAGGAGACTCACTAGTTTTCAGTGGCCAAGGCTTCTCTGAAGCTCATCTCCTAGACCCAACTGCCTCATCTAAAAACAAGGAAGCCAAGCTTCTGAGAACAAGACTCAGATGACAGCGTTGGCGATAGTTGAGGTATAAAAGCCTCTAACTTCAAACCTAGTGTTCTTCCTTCCTTTCCCACCATTAAAACAGATAATTTTTCCTGAAAACACCACACCAGCCACTGGTTTAATATGAACTAAGAAGAAAAGATTTTATAACAGCAGCTAACACAGGATTTTCAGGGCAATGAACCTTCTCAGTGTGGTACTATAATGGTAGATACATGTCATTAAAGATTTATCCAAACTCACAAATGTACAATGCCAAACACGATCCTTCCATGTACTTTAGGTAACAAGGGTATATCAGGGTCTGTCCATCAATTGTAACAAATGTAAATATCTAATGTTGATATTTGGGTATGTGTAGAAGCTAAGGGTATATGGGAAATATCTGTAATAAGGTACACATTATTATTACTAATATTATTATTATTCCTGTTTTAGAGATAAATCAATTGAGACACACGGAGGTAAACAATCTTGTGCAAGGCAAAAAACTAAGGAGTGGCAGAACTAGGCTCTAAACTCAGGCAATCTGTCCCAGACACTCTCCCAACCATGTTACTCTTCTGCCTCTAAGTCATAACGTTTATGACCTTCATTTATGACCATGTGGTCCACATTTTATATCAGGTTTTTCCTTCAGGAGTGTGATTTAATATGAGCTTCTTATCATTCTAGCAGTAGCCTCTCTGTGGTAAGGCCAGTGATATTACTTTTTCATTTATAACGATTTTGAAAAGTAAGAATATTTTAGCTACATCTCATCTATCTAACCCTCAACTTGTACTGCTTGAATTCTAAAGTAAACAGACTCAAAAGACCTAATTTCTTGGCCACACTAGCAGCTGTTTCTCTTACTTCTAATTTGTTCTATGCTTTTGGATGGTTTCATATTAACATGCTGGGTAGATGCAGGCTGGGTTATAGCATAATTTGTTTAATCCTGCTAGTAATCAAACCAGAAGGCAAAGGTAGCCTGATTTTCACTTAAATATAGAGACTATACATACAGGCCATAGTTTCCTCCAGCCTCAAGACTTAACCTTTATAATATAGCAGGAGATCTATTCTACAATTTTATTTCAAGGTTCTCTAAGAACTCTGCAATCTGTTCACTGATGTTTGTAATATCCTAACACCAGGCTCACAATTCTAAGACAACATTCTATGGAACCCAGAGACTCTAGAAGCTTGGTGTCAAAGCTGAGCAGTCAAGTTTTTCTGCAACTAATACAGCTAAAGACTCTCAGTTTCCAACATGAAGACAGCAATGTCTCTCCCCTAAGCACCATCCTCCAAGCTAAGAGTTATATTTATCTCTCATTAAAGGTGTCAAGTGGTTTTAATGGCTCAGGAGTCCATGATGGCTGAATAAAAGTATCCCCCCAAAAGGTATACATTAATGTAACAGTGAGAGATTTGTCCGTCCAGTGCAGGCTGTAAAGGTATCATAATGTGTATCCTTTCATAAAGCTGAAAATTGCCCCTTAACTTCCTTGTTTTATAAGCTAAATATTTATGTTGAGTAAAACAGCAATAATGTGGGATCCATATAATCAAATACTTCATTCAAATGCATCGCAACATCTGTATTGTGTGGGTAATGATATCATCTACACTTGGCTGTTTTCAGTAAGAAACACCAGTCTCATACGGGACTTTTTCAGTTACAAAGCTCGCAGAACACCAAAGCAGTTGTATAATAGTATCATCTTCTAACCCTTTTAAAGTGAACTGTTTTCTAAAGATTCACCAGAAGGTAGACTTGTCTACTCCTCTCCTTTCTGCCTCAACCTCCCCTGTGCAAACGTGTCCCAGGCCCCTCCAACACTTTAAGGACCATATTTTCCACTTGATTCTTCTATAGATTATTAGCTGGTACTGGGTAGGAACCACCATTGGATACTGTGCACAGCACACAGTCGGCCTTGAACACAGTCGGCATTGAACGCAGTCTTACTGGATGAATAAACTGACAGAAGCACCAATAAATGACCTGAAGAGCCACAACTTGCTCAAGCCTTGGCCACAATAGTCACAGGTAAGTTCATAGAAGCCAACATGCTGAAGCAACCAAAGAGGAAGAAGAAGGAAAGTCACAATTCTATGAAAACCAGTTCTGATCATCTATAACCCAAGGATAGTAACTTTTAGGCATCTCAAAACTGACTAGTAAGTTAAGGGAGGTAAAAACCATTCATAAAATAATATAAATAATGCTACTATTGGTGAAGAAAGGAAATTTCACAAATAACATTTTTCAAATAATTTCAACTGAAATACTTAATGAGTGACATGGGAAAATGAGGTTGAACACTATACTTGCTAGTCATTCTGGTAATCTAGATTTGTATAGGGGTGGCGTGAGTTCTCATATGCCTACCACTGTCGCCAAAGCCTCAAAGAGCCCTAAGGAAAGTGGCCTTGCAGTGATGAGTCAGCCTCGTCACTGCAAAGTGGGATAACAGAAACTGCCTTTTATCTGCTGAGTTATAGGAAACCCAACCGAAAAATAGAAATGAAAACCACGTGGACATGACACAGACTATTCTTTCTTTCACAGTCTTTACTCTTACCTTAAGGTATCCTCCAGCAGAGACAAGCATTTTACTATCTGGAGAAAAGCAGAGGTCAGTCACCCAGCCTCCATGGGTAGCAGCTCCTTCTTCTATTGAGGTCGGAGCCCACAAATGAAGAAGCTCACCATTTGAGACACTCCATATCTATATAAACATGAGATATAATTCATTAACAGGTTTACCCAGGAGGTTTTTGAGTTTCACAATATACATCTGTGATGTATCTGGCAATCTTTCTTTAAAAGCAAAAGGAGCAGAGTACTTGATCAGACTGTTAACAATTCCCACTGAGTAAAAGAGAAAAGCCAGGCATGGCAGTGCCCCACTAACTCCAGCTGTTTGGATGGCTGAAGCAGAATTGTGAGTTCAAAGGTCATAATGAGGCCATGTATCAAAAATTTTATCACTGAAATTCCAGACATTTATGTGACTAAGCAGAAAGGTTGATTCCTTAAGTCTTCAAATCGGAGGAATTGTCCTGGAAAGCCTGATAACATCTATACTCCTGGAAAGTCCACATACTCCTATTTCTCTGGATTATATACCTACTCCCTGAGTTGTAATGCCTTTGTTTAAAAGCAAACAAAAACAACCCCATCACTGGAAATTAAAATCCTCTTCAAAAACTACTGGTAAGTAAACCAGCTATCCCAGTGCCCATGTTTTTGACTCATCTGTCCAATTCTTCTACAGCACCAAGCAGCTTTTCCACGATCTCTCATCTTTCTGCACCCAATGCTTTCAATGTTGCACTTTATGTCCACAGACACAAGAAGAACAGCATCCTGTACATCTCAGAAAAATTGTTCTCGAAATAAAACTGGTATGGGTTACATGAACATCTTAAGAGCTGCAGCATGATAAAAACTGGCCTCTGTGTAGACTCTACTTCTTCAACACCTAGTCTATGATTGTACAACTTCATTAACAAAGACAGATAGTCCAAACAAGATGGCAACAAACCCCACCATAAATGTGGACTAATGCATAGGGTGTTAAAAAAGACCTCTACATTGAGTAACAAGAACAGCACACTTTGTAATTCATTTATAACCCAATGATTTACGAAATTATTTTCCTCAAATTCTACCACTAAAACCCACCTTTGGTTCAAAACTTAACATGAATCAGGCTGGAGAGATGGCTCAGAAGTTAACAGTACTGCTCTTCCAGAGGACCCAAGTTCAGTTACCAGCACCCATGTTAGGTTCAGAATTACCTATAACTTCAGCTCCAAGGATATCTGATGCATCTAGCATCTCACCTACACTCATATGCACATACCCACACATAGACACATATATACATATACTTTATTTATTTTTAAAGAATATTTTATTTAGGGGCTGCAGAGATGGCTCAGCAGGTAAGAACACTGACTGTTCTTGCAGAAGACCCGAGTTTGACCCACACGGCAGCTAACAACTGTCTGTAACTCCAGTTCCAGGGGATCCCACAGCCTCTTCTGTCCTCCCTGGGCATTGCACGACACAGGTGTACTTACCTACATGCATGCATAACACTCATACACATAAAATAAAAAATAATGAATTAAAAAAAAAAGAATATTTTATTATTATAGCCAGGCATGGTGGCACACACCTTTAATCCCAGCATTCGGGAGACAGAGGAGGTGGATCTCTGTGAGTTTGAGGCCAGCCTGGTCTAAACAGCAAATTCCAGGCTAAAGCCACAGGGAGACCCTGTCTCAAAAAGACCAAATTTATTATACATATATATATATATTTTTTTTTTTTTATGTACATGAGTAAATTGCCTGCATGTAAGTGCACCCATGTCATACAATGCCTAGAGAGGTCAGAAGGGGGTGTGGGATCCCCTGGAACTAGAGTTAGGACAGTTGTTATCTGCCATATGGGTGCTGGGAATCAAACCCAGTCCTCTGTAAGAGCAGTCAGTGCTCTTAACTGCTGAGCCAACTCTCTAGTCTCTATACACATACTTTAAAATAATAAAAATAAACATTTTTTAAAAATTAAGATGAATCATTCTCAAACAGCAGAGAACCAACTGCAAATAACTACAGCATTTACCTGCTCACATATGTAGAAAATGTCTAACTCTAAAATAAATTATTTCCTGAGGTAAAGGTGGCTATGAATACATTGTGCACAAGAAATATAACAATACCCCAGGGCCTATGAGTCTTATCTCATCAAAAAAGGTCTTCAATGTTAAGCTGGATGTAGTGGCACACATCCATAATTCCAGGACTTTAGACACTAATACAGAAGAATATGGAACTGGAGGCCAGGCAAGGTTGCATAGTGAGTCCAGGTCAGCCTAAGCTACACAGCAAGACTCTCTCTCTCTCAAAAACAAACAACTCCATGTGGTGAAGAATGCCAGCCCAAGCTGATTAATTCATTCAGAACAAACCTACCCTGATCTCCCCATTGTCATCTCCAGTTGCCAGCAGGGTGCCGTCCAGAGAGAAGGCAGAGCAGCGCACACAACCACTGTGGCCCTTCAACTCATGAAGAGGGTAAAGGAGTTCAAAACTCCAAATCTGGAAGGCAATGAAGATTAAGAATAGTGAATATACACTTAAGTAAACATCTACAAAGCATGCCCTGAATGCTCTGCAGCCATGAAGTCAATCATATATTAAAACACTTGGCGGTGCACCAACTTGCAACCTTGTTGATTGTTTGGAACTTCCCTTTAGTTTTTCAAATTAAATGTAGCTCAAGGACCAAAGCCACAGCTTTCTTGTTTTTATATTAATACTCAGAAGAAGGAACACAGAATCAGTCAAGAACAATCTAGAGAGTGAGGCAGATCAGAGTTATGAGTCTACTCTTTACCAGTTTCCTATGACCTAGGACAACTGATAACTTCTCTAGCTGATACCTACAGTGTGACAATTACATGAGATTACAGGCAGTCAAAGGTCTAGCAAAGGACCTAACACATGGTCAGTGCTCTTGAAAGACTTGTCACTATACTCTCCTACAATCTTGGTGGCCAAATGCCTTTTCCTTCCAATATTCTCTCTGTGGTTCTGTTACCAGCATTGAACAAGGACTGACTGAAAACTACCATGTTCCAGGCACTAAAAACTAAGAACTTGTGGATAAAGATAAACTAGACATAGACCCTTTCCTTGAAGTTTATAGTTTAATCAGGAAGGCAGACTCAGTAATAGTTTGTTAACAGTTGAAATGCTCCAACAAACACAAATAAAATGTAATGGAAACTATGGTGGTAGAGCAGCTAACCCTGCCCGAAAACACTTCACTGAAGCAAACACGAAATGTAGTTCTAGAAGATGTGTCATAACACTCAAGGTTGAAAGAAGCAAAGGCTGTGTCAAACCAGAGTTAACAGCATGCATAAAAAGACAGAGGGACAAAGTGGCAGGCACAGAAGGCACAACAGACCAGAAAAAGGCAGTGATGGGCTTAGGAGTTTGCCTACAAAACATAACATGATAGGTGCTTCACCAGAGGACTTGAGTGACTGAAGGGGAAATAACACACAGGAGACACAGACACAAAGCTGTCTACCAGTGAATAGGGAGGAAAGCATGGTCTTTGGGGACAAGGAAGTGCAGAGAGATCTAAAAGGCACCAGCAGTACACAAAAGCACCAAAACCAGGATATATTTCCTGATAAATCTCAATATTTATAGTTTGGAAAGAAAGGATGATAATGATGTCGTTAACAAAGAAGGAAGAAAAAAGAAGAGAATGTAAAACTGAGACTCCCCGGGCTAGCAGCATGATTCAGAGCTCTCTGAAAGTCTCAACTTGCACCAATGGAATAAAATCTTACTAATTAAACTTACATCCTTTTCATTTATTTTATATATAATATGCAGCGGATATTTCATTTGATTAGATACAAATACAAAAGTGATTCATAAGGGAGAATCACAAATCTTTGATGTTATTCATGTAATCTATCTAACAATAACTAAACGCTAGTGGGCATTCTCCAAAAGTTTGGGACCAGGACAAGATTCTCTAGCTTTAGTTTATATATATGTAAAATACAGACAATGACACTTATGATGAAATTATAGAGTGGAATTCCTAGTGCTACCTGTCCTAAAATATGAGCCAGGATCTGGAGAGATGGCTCAGGTACAAACACGAGCCATGCAAGCCTGACAACCTGAGTGGAACCCAAGATGCAGTGGCCTGTATCTGTAATTCCAGCATTCCTATGGTGAGATGGGAGATGAGACAAGAGAACCACCTGTAGCCTCACAGGCCACCTAGAGTCTGGAGTAAGCAGACAGCAGAAGCAGCAGCAACACCGAGACTCTGCTGCAACAAGGTAGGAAAGAACTAACTCCTGAAAGGTGTCATCTACTTTACATACACACACACACACACAGTGGCTCATGTGTACCCACATTCACTCACTCTTCTCTCTTTCATATACACTCAAAATGATAAAGAAAATTAAAAACATATATATGATAGGTGTGTGGACAGAAAGTTACTATCCTGCTTTATACATTACTTGGATTCATATCAATAGTAAAAGTTTTAAACACAGGGGCTGGAGAGATGGCTGCTCTTGCAGAGAACCCAGGTCCAGTTCACAGCACCCACATGACAGTTAACAACTATCAGTAACTCCAATTCCTGGGATCGGATGCTCTCTTCTGACCTCCACAGGCAATACACACATGTGGTAGATTTACATATATGCAGGCAAACACTCATCACATAAAATAAGAATAATTTTTTTTAAAAAGTGTTAAACATGGGCACTTTAAGTGACTGACCTACCTTGGCAGTCTTATCAGCAGAGGTAGATGAAAACTTGGTGCCATCAGAAGAAATGTCACAAGAAAGTACTGTACCTTGATGACAAACAAAGTCTTTTTCTATCCTTCCAGTAACAATATTCCATATCTTAAGGGAGAAAAAAAAACAGTAGGTAATACTTTAAAGAACATTTTGGCCAGGCATGGTGGCACACACCTGTAATCACATCATGTGAGAAGCAGAGACGGGAGGATCACAGCTCAGGACTAGCCTGGACTACACAGTACAAAAGTGTCTCAAAAAAAACAAGAGCTGAGGGCTCAATAGCAGAGTGCAACCATGTGCAAAATCCTGGCTTTGATTCCTAGCACCACAAATAAGGGCAGGGGTAAGGAAGGGAAGAAAGAAGGACATTAAGAGCATGATCAGCTAGAAAACAGCCACAAAACAAGTTTTAGAACACTAGCTGTTCTGATCGCTTAAGTATCCTTTTGTATAAACGCTTACAAACATAAAACAGATGTAGGTGACTGCAGTGAACACAAAGCATTCTGTTCTGTAATATTCATGTGCTTTTAGCTGGCACAGTAGAGCAATATGAGAATGTTTTCTTTAAAAAAAAAATCTGAGGCCAGATGTGGTGGTACACACCTTAAGTCCAGGACTCAGGAGGCAGAGGCAGACAGAGCTCTGTGAGTTCAGGGCCAGCCTGGTATATATAGCAAATTCCAGGCCAGCAAGGGCTGCATAGTGAGAGACCCTGACTCCAAAATAAATAGTTTAAAATTTTTAAAATCTGGGATTCAAATTACCTTCACTGTTCCATCAAATGACCAAGAAAGCAATCTTAAATTTTTTAGGAGCCTGAAGTGCTTCACTGTTTCCTGATGGGCTTTCAGAAGGACATATTCCTCTGACTGCCAAGTCCATACCTGAATATCAAAGAAATAAATCTATTATAAACCTCCTTCAATAATATCCCCCTGGAAGGGGGTTGTGTATTCTGTTGTCTAAAGTCTTTTATCCTCATAGCATTTCAAAGAGAGAAGTAGTAACAAAGAATATTCTGTCTACATTTTACAAAGAGAGAAGGCTGGGGTTAATTAGCTTGATGAAGGGCAAAATAAAACACCTTTCCTCCTAAATAAAATTTGTTCCCTTCAGTTGCTTAGAGAATAGTTAATTAAACCAGAAGATAGAAAAAAATTTACAATATGCCAGTGAACTCACCATCTAATTAAATTTTCCAGAGAAAATTATCCCAATTACATATTTGCAGATTTGCAAGCCTTGCTGGGCAAGTCTGCAGATTCTGGCTCCACTGAAGCTGGCCCTACTGCCCAAGGTCAGCCAGAGAAACTTGAAAACAGATCATGGAACTGTTTAAGCTTCAAAAGCCTTAGCTATCTGCTAATGCAATTCTCAGAAAAAAAAAAGCAATAGGGCATTATTTTTCACATGGAGCTTCAGAAAGAGGGTCCTCAGACACAAGAGAAGAAAGAATTGAAGTAGTGCCAGCAACTGGCACAAAATAAACACACAAGAACATCTGAGGCACAGCAGTGAGCAGAAATGTCTATGTCATGTCTATATACAGAGCATTCTTTACTAAATCAAAGCAACTGCATTTAGAGGCATTTTAAATTCTTGATTTCAAATTAATTTATTAAACATGTTTGTTTAGGGGCTGGAGAGATGGCTCAGCAGTTAAGAGCACTGATTGCTCTTGCAGAGGACCCAGGTTCGATTCCCAGCACCCACATGGCGGCTATGAACCACCCTTAACTCCAGTTCCAGGGGAATCTGAATCCCTCTTCTGACCTCCGCAACATTGCATGGCATGGGTACACTCACATACATGCAGGCAATACACTCATACACATAAAATAAAAATAATAAATAAAATATTTTTTAAATGTTTATTTAGCACCTACATGAATATGTTCATCAAACAAGGCTCTATCGTGAAGAAACCCAAGCAATGAGACATTTAAAAAATCCTACACAAAGATAGTAATTACAGAAATAAAAATACTGTGAAACTCAAAATTGGTAGTTCTTTAGAGAGGATTTGGTAGAGAGAATACTCAAAATAAGTGAGAGGAATGGACTATAATTAAGAGTCACAAACAGGTCTGTTTCTGTTTTTTTTGTTTGTTTGTTTGTTTGTTTGGGTCTTTTTGAGAGAGGGTCTCCCTGTAGTCCCAGCTGTCCTGGAACTGACTATGTAGACCAGGCTGGCCTTGAACTAATAGTGATCCACCTGCCCCTGCCTCCCAAGTGCTGGAATCAAAGGCACGCGCCACCACACCTGGCCCACAAACAGGACTTTTCACACACAGAGAATGAATCCTGGAACACTAGAGCAGAAAAAGTTTGGAAAGGTACTGAAGGAAACAGCCTTGAGAGTCCAGGGAAGGTGTAGGTAATCGGACAGGCTTCAAAAAACTAAAATGACCTTAAATCAACATCACGATAGGTATGCACATAATCAGCATTATGGTTCTAGTTCAAGTGAAGGTCGAACATTAAAGATAACTTTAAGCCTATGTAATTTCGTTTATAGTTTTGCCTATCTCATTCTCCTTTCTTTGCTCCTTTCTCTACTACATTCAGCAGCTGGCCTCCCCACCAAGCCTTGGCTCTCAAATCTTCTACCTTAGGGCATCTGTTCACAGAAGCAGGATTACCAGGAATGGTGTATGCTGTATGCCAGCAAGATGACTTTAGAGGAGGAACTGGAAGTGAGAGCTTTCTAATGAGCATGGATGGATTCAAAATTCCAGTATTTTAAGAATTCATGCTGGGGGCTGTGGTATAGTCAAGGGAACACAGGCTTTCCTGGCTCCCCAAATCATACCAAAAAGTAAAGGCACCCTGTATAATGAAGCATATCATACCCTAAACCATTTCCACTAGGAATGCCCTGGCTCCTTCCTTCCCTTTTCTGGGCTTTACTGTACAGATGATCAGTGACTACTAACAGCTCCTCCTTCTCAACAGTCTTGGCTGTGCCTGATTCAAAGCCCATTCCTAACTGATGCTCTTCCTGCTGAACTCTACCTGAGGAAGTCAGAGCACCTTCCTGAGCAGATATTACAGAGAACCTAGCAATCATTTCCATAGAAGCCTTTTGACAAGGCACTGATGACAGTGGAGCTTTGTTGTTGTTCTAATTCAAATCTAACATATTGTTCATTGAATCCACCTTGATGCATAGATAAACTAGACTAGCATTTACCAAATGCACTGAAGTTGAACTTGGGAATATCTACCATTAGCAATAATCTTTTGTGAGTATGTATACTGTAGAATGTTTTCAGCTATATCAAATTTTTAAATGTTGGCTGGGCATAAGTAGCACATGTCTATAATCCCAGCACTGGAAAGGGTGAAACAGAAGGATCACAAGTTTGAAGCCAGTCCAGGCTACAATGTGAGACTCCAACTGAAACATACACACAAAAATAATAAAGTAAATAAATAAGTAAATAAATAAATTTCTTATACCTATAAGGACCAAGAAATTTCTATGCATCAAGCAAATGTGGCTAACACTTGAGCTTTATTTACTTCAAAGTAGAGGATCAAAAGCTACCAAAGCTGACCTCAGTTCTCACCAGGCTAAGCAGGTGAGCTGATCCTCCTAATTCTAGCAGTAACTTCAGCTTGTCAAGAATTCTCTAAACTCTATGTTTCAGGCTGGGGATATAAAGATTATTAAAACAAAACTTCACTTAGTCATTTGCTAAATCTTAAAAAACTAAAGAGAGTTTGAGAAACGGCTCAGTGGTTAAGAGCACTGGCTGTTCTTGCAGAGGACCCAGGTTCAGTTCCCAGCACCCACATGGCAGCTAACAACTGTCCCTAACTACAGTTCCAGGGGCTCTTACATACTCTTCTGACCTCCGTGGGCACTGCATGACACGGGTGCACTTACATATATTCAGGCAATACACTCATACACTTAAAATAAAAATACATAAAATATTTAAAAACTAAAACAAAGCTGAGTGTGGAAGCACACATCTGTAATCCCTGAACCGGGGCAGAGGAGGCAGGAGGAACAGAAGTTCAAAGTCAGTCTTGGCTACATGAGACCCTGTCTCAAAAAAATAAAACAAGGAGCTACAGAGAAGGCTCAGTGGTTTAAAACACTGGCTGTTCTTGCAGATGACCTGGTTTCTATTCCCTGTACCCACATGGCGGCTAACAACCATCTGTAACGCCAGTTCCAGGGGATCTGATGCCTTCTTCTGACCTCCATGGACATTGCATAACACAGGTGCACTTACATGCATACAAGCAACAAACTCATACACATAAAATTTTAAAAATAAAGATAAAATAATAAAAGAAAAAGAAAAAAATTGAAAAATAAAGCACAAAAACAAAACCAAAAAAAAAACAAACAAAAAAAATCAGCAAATCATTTCTCAGACATACCTACCAAGAGTTTCATTACCTGACACATTAAAATACTGTAAATATAAAAAACATTCTAGGGGCTGGAGAGATGGCTCAGAGGTTAAGAGCACTGACTGCTCTTGCAGAGGACCCGGGTTCGATTCCCAGAACCCACATGGAGGCCACAAACCATCCTTAACTCCAGTTCCAGGGAAATCTGAAGCCCTCTTCTGACTTCCATGGCATTGCACAACATGGGTGCACTGACATACATGCAGGTAATACACTCATACACATAAAATAAAAATAATAAATAAAATGATTTTAAAAAAAACATTCTGAGTAGAACAGGAAAAGATGAAATACAACTTGTATTTTAAAAAATAATTCCTGTTCTCTCTGAGCATTGTGGTCTTTAAACTTAGCACTTGAGAGGCAGAGGCTAGAGGGATCTCTGTGAGATTGAGGTCAGCCTGGTCTACACAGTGAGTTCCAGGCCAGCTGGAGCTACAGGAAGATCCTGTCTCAAATAATAATAATAAAAATAAACAAAGAAGGGCTGGAGAGATGGCTCAGCAGTTAAGAACACTGGTTGTTCTTGCATTGCATGACACAGGTGCACTCACATACAAGCAGGCAGTACACTCATACACATAAAATAAAAATAATAAAATATTGGGGCTGGAGAGAGAGCTCAGCAATTAAGAACACTGGTTGTTCTTGCAGAAGACCCGGGTTTGAATCCCAGCATCCACATGGCAGCTAAGAGCTGCCCTTAACTCCAGTCCCAGGGGATCCAACATCCTCTTCTGACCTCCGAGGGCATTGCACGGCATGGGTGCACTTACCCACATGCAGGCAATACATGTATACACATTAAATAAAAATTTTAAAAAAAACAAAAAAAACAAATAACATATTCTAAAAGTATTTCTAAAAATTATTTATCCTTCTGGCTGAGAATATCTCCAAGCAAGTCATAAAACTTTATGAATTTAAGTTCACACAGCATATGATGTTCCAACAGGATTCATCAGATGCAGTTTAATCTCCCCCATTTCAAAGATATCTGGAGAGGAAGAAATGTGACTATTACCCTGAGTTTCACAGCTAATAAAGGAGCATCATGGGCACCTGTAATAAAGTTTCTGTACTGAAGCCAAATTTCATTCCATTACTACACCTTCACAAAGACACAACATAGCAAGATTGGTTTTCCAAAATAGTTCTTTTTTTCAAAATAGTTTTTAATAGTACAATTAAATGTTGTTACCATAAGAAATATATACTAAATAAAAGAGCTAAGGGTATAACTCAGTAGTTGCCTAGTATGCACAGACCCTGGGGTCAATCTCCAGCACAGCAATAAATAAGCAAATAAATAACAACTGTCAATTGTCACTACAAAATGTATTTCTTGCCTTTATCTCTGAAATCAGAATAAAAGATGGCTACAGTAAGAGGGAAGGGAGAAGGCAAACAGGAAAGGAGGTAACAACAAAATGCTGGAGAATGGAAAACAGGAGAAATGTAACTGAGCAGAACCAAGAAAACAAAATCCTAGAAGCACTGTAGTAGTCCAAAAACCCACAACTGACAGTACATACCCCCCAAATGCTCAGAAACTGGAAGCCCTAAATATATCCAAAGGTGGAAATGGGGAACGGGCTAAGAACAGCAGGACAGCAATCTGGGGAAAGCAGGAGCAATGCAGGTGAAATGCTGAGGTCTAGCATCTACTCCCAATGTTCTTTCCCCACCTAGTTTCGAGAACCCATCAGCTTCATTTATCTGCCAGGCAGGAAAGGAGAAGATTCTTTTCCAGGAAGCTCAGAACAAGACAAAATCCATAAAGATCCACTGACAACAATGATTCTCCATTCAGACCACCTTTCAGAAAATGTCTCAGTCAACACATAGACCTGTTTTCATACCCATCACTGGTAGCTAATGATCATCACTACCCAAAGAGAAGCTTGAAATGAGAAAGTGTGTGAGTGTGTGTGTCAATTATATCTACTAGATATAAATGATATATTTACATATAACATGTATAATTTCTAGTAATATATGTGTACATATCTCTGCAAAGTGTAAGAGAACATATTCCATCTGTGACAAAAGAACACAATGTTCTTTAAAAAGGAACAACGAAAAGCCATATGTGGTAGCACATACCTGTAATCCTAACGTTTGGGAGGCTAAGGTAGAGGATCAGAAGGTCAGAGCCAGCCTGGGCTACATGACAAGTTTGAAGTAAGCCTGAGCTACATAATGAGCCGTCTTTAAAAAAAAATAAAAACATCTTGGGCATTAACAACATAAAATGAAAAAAAAAATCAATAAAAGGGGTTGGGCGTGGTAGCACATACCTTTAATCCCAGCACTCAGGTCAGGAGGTAGGGTTGAAAAAGTAAAAACTAAGAAAAATACCAGAAAATAGCACACAGTATTAAGGGGGGCGAGGAGCCCACAGCAAGCATGATAGCACATGTCTGTGGAGGCAGAAGGATCAGAAAGGTCATCCCCAGCTATCTAGTGAGTTCAAATCCAGCCTGGGTTATAGAAGACACTATCTTGAAAAGGAAAACAGCAAAACCAAACAAACAAAACCCAACATATGAAAAATGGGTTTTATACAAAGAGAATCAGCTTGGACAAGAAAATGAAAAAGAAAAAGAAGAAATAAGTCAGGTAACTCTAAGACTGTAAGTTTCCTTGAGAAGAACAACTAAATATACAAAACAATGGAAGGAAGAAAATACACCCCAAGGCACATCATTATGAAATTTCAAAATTCTGGGGCCCAAGAGAAGATTCTGAAATCTTCCAGAAAGAGTAAAAACTTTAGTATTCTCAACATAAATTTTAGAATGTGTAAGAAAAATGAAGCAATATCCTCAAAGTTTTAAAGTAAGAAAATTTCCAGCTACAATTAATCAAAAGTCGTATTTTTCTAAACTATATTAAGACAGGAATTGCAACCACCAGGTGTAATGACACAGGCCTGTAGTCAGACCACTCATGAGACTGGGGCAGGAGGACACTGAGTTCAAGACCAGTCTGGGCTACACAGGAATATTCTATTTAAAATAAAAATAAACAAAAACAACAAAGAAAACTAAAACAAAAAACACAAGACAAAAATTACATTAATAATACCCTTTAGTACACAGTCTACTTGAACATGTATTAATGCTAGGGATCTAAATACAATTTTATCAAAACTGTTGTGATTGCAGGACTGAAAACTGGCTATGGGCGCATGTATGCATGCACATACATTCAAAACAGGACAGGGAAGGGAAGAAAAAAGCCAAATCTTTCACTATGAGAAGTCAGTACCTCCTCAAGTGGGAAATCAAAACTAGCACCTCAAGCATGCCATATGTAGGCATGAGAGCAAACTTTTTTTAAAAAAAAAAATCTGAATAATTGGGGCTGGAGAGATGGTTCGACAATTAAGAGCACTGGCTGCTTCTGCAGAGAACCCAGGTTCAGTTCCCAGCACCCACACAGCACCTGTCTATAACTCAAGTTTTGGGGATCTGATGCCCTCTCCTGGCCTTGTGGGACCTGCATTCATGTGATGTACATACATGCACGTAAAACAGTTACATACATAAAATAAAAATGAATATTGTTTATAGGATTTAAAAATATCTACATAACTACACACTATCGGTGATACTTCTGAAGAGGTCTATTCTTCAGAGTAAGCCCTGTAATACTGAGTATTAAAGTATGTGTACCAGAACAATAGAAATCAAATGATTTTTAAAAGAATTTCGAGTTGAAAGTCTCCATGTCCACAATCATTATAGTAAACAACTTTTTTTATATAAGAGTTCCAGTCTAAGCACCCACATGGCAGTTCACAACCATCTATGAACTCCAGTTCTAGAAGATACATCTGTGCATAGTATGGCATCTGTGGGTGGTGTACACATGTGGTACACTTTACATACATGCAGGCAATCTCTCATACATATAAAATAAAAATTAATCTTTTCAAAATAAATAACCTGGAGTTGGAGAGATGGATCAGCAGTTAAGAGCACTGACTGCTCTTACAGAGGACCCGGGTTCAATTCCCAGCACCCACATGTCCTTAACTCCAGTTCCAGGGGAATCGGAAGGCCTCTTCTGACCTCGGCGGCATTGCACGACACAGGTGCACTCACATACATGCAGACAATACACTCATACACAGAAAATAAAAATAATAAAATATTTTTTAAATAAAAAAAAATAACCTACGTGAAATTGCTTGCCATCCCACACCCACAGAAAAACATGAACTATGAATGGATTTTACCTAAACCCACGTATATAGTCTAGATGTACACCCAAAATAATTTAAGTGACCAAATTTTAGACACAAAGTGTTATTTTTCTAGAGAAGTGTTTTTCTGTTTTAACAGTACAAATATTAGTTCATTCATCCTCTTACTTGAATTACAGAATCATCAGAACTTGAAATAAGAGTCTTCCCATCGGCTGTGAACTGGATGTGCCGTACAGCTTTCTTGTGCCCCATCCTGGAACTGAAGACTCTGTTGTTTGGAAGTTCTATAATCTTCAAAGCAGAAAACCAAAAAAGATTAATACAAAGAAATTAAGTAATGCTTAGGAACTATACTCCCAATAAATTAGACTACAGAAAGGTATAACACTTCCATGTTATAATATTCTTAATTGAACTAAAACCACACAAATGAACAGTACATCTGTATTACACACACACACACACACACACACCCATGTACTTCTGCCCTCCACCCCAATCAAGCATTTACTGGAATGGCCAGATGGGCAGCAGGAACCATCTAAATACTCAACCACCCAATTCATCAAATGAGTGGCAGTCTGGACTCAGTCTCCAAAATAAAAATGGTATTTATGATGAATAAGAAAGAAGAAAGGAGGGCTGGAGAGAAGGCTCAGCAGTTAAGAACACTGGCTAGTCTTATAGAAGACCCAGGTTCAGTTCTCAGCACCCACATGGCAGCTATCAACCATCTGTAACTCCAGTTCCAGGGGGTTCAACACCCTCATCTGTCCTCTGAGGGCACTGAACGACATGGGTGCACTGACACTCATACACATTAAATTAAATAAAATAAATAAATAAATAAATAAATAAAAGAAAGAAAGAAGAAAGGAAAAAAATCTTGGATGAGACAAGGCAAGTTCTTCATAACAGCACAGAAATGAGGAAAGATAAAGGATGACAAGGGCGACAGGTAAAGGAAGAGAAGAAAAGAGAAGACTGGAGAACAGTGTGACAAGCCATAAGAGGGCTTAAGACTAACACACCAAATACAGAGATTAAGAAAGAAATAACAGGGCTGGTGAGATGGTTCAGAAGGTAAAGTACTGGCTGCGTAAGCATGGGGGCCTGAGTTGGATCCCCAGAACCCACATGATGAAAGGAGAGCACTGACTCCCACAAGCTGTTCTCTGACCTCCACACCCACACTGTGGCACAGAAAGAGGCAGGAAATGTAAAAATTTTTTAAATAAAAATAGTAACACAAATTAAAAAAATAGTGACTTACAAAAAGAAGTTTTCAAGTGAACTCATACTACAAAAAATATGTTTTCTTTACTCAAATTAAAACTTAGTCAAGGAAATAAGGATGTTATAACGGGAGATTCCAGAAATTCAAATCTAACACAAACATCTGAAAAAAAGACCCCTCAAAAAGCAAAGAAGAATTGTTGTGATTGGACCTTCTCAGAGGAGCGGGATAGACAATCACTATTTCCAAAGGGGAAAACAGGGTAGCAGAATTATTGGGCAAATATACTCAGAGGCTTTAATTTGAAAACTAGCTATACCACTCAGGAAAGTTGTGAAAAGGTAGGGAATTAGACATCTATAAAACATGAATCATGGTATCCAAGATGCCATAAGAATTCAACAAGAGCATCTGTAGCAGTGAATAGTAGCTGCTGGGCTGAACCAGATGAAACTGCCATTTAAAGGTCGAAAATCAATGAAAAGTAGATGTTGGTTGTGCTGGATAGCTTTAGTGCCAATTAGACATACCTGGGCTGGAGGGAGCCTCAACTGGGGAACTGCCTTCATTGGACTGGCCTACGGCCATGTCCATGGGGCACCTTCTTGATTGATGAGTGATATGGGAGGGCCCAGCCCACTATGGGTGGTGCCATCCCTGGGCAGGTGGGCCTGTGTTGCATAAGAAAGCAGGCTGAGCATGGGCCAGAGGAGCAAACCAGTAAGCAGCATTCTTCCACAGCCTGTGCTCCAGCTCCTGCCTCCAGGTTCCTGCCCTGAGTTCTTACCTTGGGCTCCCTGATGAACTGGGACCCAGGAGATATAAGATAAAATAAACCCTTTCCTCCCCAAATTGGTATTGGTCAGAGTATTTTGTCATAGCAATGGAGACATTTCCAGTACCACAAAGAAAGAAGAGCAAGATGACTGGACAGGTGGCTCAGTGGTGAAGACCCAGCTTGGCCTCCCAGCCCCTACACTTGCATCCATCTGTAAGTCCCGCTCCAGGGGATCTGATGCTCTCTTGTGGCCTCCATGGGTACTGCACTTGTGTGCACATACCCACACGGGCACACATGCATATACGTAATAAATAAATAAATAAATAAATAAATAAAAGAAAGAAAGAAGAAAGGAAAAAAATCTTGGATGAGACAAGGCAAGTTCTTCATAACAGCACAGAAATGAGGAAAGATAAAGGATGACAAGGGCGACAGGTAAAGGAAGAGAAGAAAAGAGAAGACTGGAGAACAGTGTGACAAGCCATAAGAGGGCTTAAGACTAACACACCAAATACAGAGATTAAGAAAGAAATAACAGGGCTGGTGAGATGGTTCAGAAGGTAAAGTACTGGCTGCGTAAGCATGGGGGCCTGAGTTGGATCCCCAGAACCCACATGATGAAAGGAGAGCACTGACTCCCACAAGCTGTTCTCTGACCTCCACACCCACACTGTGGCACAGAAAGAGGCAGGAAATGTAAAAATTTTTTAAATAAAAATAGTAACACAAATTAAAAAAATAGTGACTTACAAAAAGAAGTTTTCAAGTGAACTCATACTACAAAAAATATGTTTTCTTTACTCAAATTAAAACTTAGTCAAGGAAATAAGGATGTTATAACGGGAGATTCCAGAAATTCAAATCTAACACAAACATCTGAAAAAAAGACCCCTCAAAAAGCAAAGAAGAATTGTTGTGATTGGACCTTCTCAGAGGAGCGGGATAGACAATCACTATTTCCAAAGGGGAAAACAGGGTAGCAGAATTATTGGGCAAATATACTCAGAGGCTTTAATTTGAAAACTAGCTATACCACTCAGGAAAGTTGTGAAAAGGTAGGGAATTAGACATCTATAAAACATGAATCATGGTATCCAAGATGCCATAAGAATTCAACAAGAGCATCTGTAGCAGTGAATAGTAGCTGCTGGGCTGAACCAGATGAAACTGCCATTTAAAGGTCGAAAATCAATGAAAAGTAGATGTTGGTTGTGCTGGATAGCTTTAGTGCCAATTAGACATACCTGGGCTGGAGGGAGCCTCAACTGGGGAACTGCCTTCATTGGACTGGCCTACGGCCATGTCCATGGGGCACCTTCTTGATTGATGAGTGATATGGGAGGGCCCAGCCCACTATGGGTGGTGCCATCCCTGGGCAGGTGGGCCTGTGTTGCATAAGAAAGCAGGCTGAGCATGGGCCAGAGGAGCAAACCAGTAAGCAGCATTCTTCCACAGCCTGTGCTCCAGCTCCTGCCTCCAGGTTCCTGCCCTGAGTTCTTACCTTGGGCTCCCTGATGAACTGGGACCCAGGAGATATAAGACAAATAAACCCTTTCCTTCCCAAGTTGGCATTGGTCAGAGTATTTTGTCACAGCAACGAAGAAACAAACTAGAACACTGACACTGTCACATGGTTCATTATGTAAATACCACTGGTGAGGTTTCTGCTTGTTTTTTCTATCTGGAAGGCCATTTCAAGGTACCGAAATGGTAAAAATAAAAAGAATATGATGTTAAGTTAACAACAAAGGAAAAGGAAAAGGAAAACCAAGGACACTTTCAAAATAAATAACATATAGCAAGCAGTAAAAGAAATGGGACTGAGAGGGAGGACTAAGGTGCCTGTAACTACACAATAATCCCTTCTTAACAGCCATAATATACTTTGTCAGAACACTACCCATCTTAACAATAAATCTCACAAAAATAAAATCTTAATTCTGAATACACACCACAATAGCCATGAAAAATACCATCGACATCACCTCCTTCCTCACTCTCAGTATAAGCATTTAGTCTCCTCTTGTGAGGCAATATAGCCTGGAGAATATTTGAGCAATCCTTTATGAAAATGAATCCATAGTAAAGTTAATGTAGCTAATGCCACAGTTAATAAATTAGAAACAATCCCCAAAAGTCTACATGGAAAAAAAATGAGAACCAATGTTCTCTAAAAATTATGTAGCTAGATAAAATGTGCTTCTGTGATAAACTTTGTATGTGACAAACCTCACAATATTTTTACAAAATTATTTTCATTACAGTACGTTTTCTTCCTGATTCCTTGTATTCAGCTGGGCTTGTAGGAAGTTAGAGATTTCAGGTGGTAAACAGGTACATCTCTAACATCAAATGTAGAAAAGCAAGGATGGAGAACAGGCAGGCACAGGTGGCCCCACAGTGACATTCTCAAAAAGCTGGAAACAACACCCACATGGCTGAGTTTCTAAGAGGAAAAAAATGCTTTTTGTATAGTTGGCTAAATCTCTGGTAGTTATATAAACAGCAAAACCACCAGGAGGAGAATGAGGAACACAAAAAGCATGAGAAACAGTAGTAAAGGCAATGTGAGAAACAATAATAGATAAGATGTAGCTTAGTCTAAAGGATAGTGACTACAAGATCATGGAAAGATCTGTTTAGTATATAGAACTGAGAGGGAGGACTGATGTAGACCTGTAATTATAAAACAGTACCATGCTTGCCATGCAATGCCAGGCATAATCAGTTTACAATAAGTAATGCTAGTACACAGCTCTGAAATTAGAACTGAGTACCTTGATGGCTCCATCTTCATCTCCAAATGCAACATACTCAAGATGTGGACTTAAGCAACAGCAACTAACTTGAGCTTCAGGCAGGTAATCAATCTGACCTGTTTTTCCAGAAATAAGCTAATGGAAAATAAGACACAATCAGTTATTAGGTTGCAAGTGCTTTTTTCTTTCTCCTCTCTCTCTTTAGAAGTGTCAGTTGAAAAAAAAAAAAAAAAAAAAAAAAAAAAAAAAAAAAAAAAAACAGAAAATAACCACGAGTTCCCAGGGGAACAACAAAAGCTGATCCTAGACTCAGTAGCTGTATTTAGCACTTTATACTTTCATCTTATTTCACTTCTGTGGCTCAAATACATTTTCATAAAATAAAACAGGCTTAAAAGGTTTAAGAAGCAGCTGCTGTGCCCCACCACCTGAGACACATCTGTCTGATTTGCAATCTCACAGGCAGCTCCACATCCTCTTTTTTTATTTCTTCACAAAGTCCATTTTTTAATAGGGTTATCATTTGTTAAAAAATATACTTTTCTGAAATTTTCAACAGGGTTGGTGAAACAGAGGACTGAGACAGACATTACATACAATAATGAATCTAAACTGAATATCCTCCAAGTCACTCACTAAACAGGACAAATTAAGGCTCTTTCTTTAGGAGTGAGGGGATGGATTTTACAGAACAACTTATAAGCATAATTTGTATCACTGAACTTGCAATATTTAAACCCAGATTGCCCAATTTCATATCCTCTACCGAATGCTAATGATTATTGTTTGAAATCCTATCTCTCTCCCCCTCAAAGTGCCTTAACATTCAATGAAAACATGTAACCTCAGGAAATACTCCTCAAGCTTAAATTAATTATCAGATACCTCTCTATATTAATGCTATAACCTAAAAATCTTGAATTATATCTCAGTAGGTAATAAGCAGTGAAATTATTTCAGGTATACTGATTATAAAATTAATTAATAATAGGTAGTTTTTCCTTTACAACGTTTTTTCCCAGACTGCACTGATCTACTCAATATTTAAAATCAAGACTGAATTACTGTAGGCTGCTGGAGGAGAAACGTCATCAATAGCTCACCTAGCTGTGGACACTGCATGCTACAAAACAGACCTGTTAAGCATGGGTACAATAGTGGCATGACTGTCATGGGGGTGACCAACCACTTTCTGATTGGATCTGAAGCCCACTCCATAAGAGGGAATTCATGCCTAGTACCATAAACCTGGTCAAAAGCCCACGACTAGAGACAAATTTAGGGATGTCTCACAACTTGACACTAACACTCAAAACTGATGAAGACAAGTTACCACAATAAACAACTTATTCTCAGATAGGGATCTCCTGAATTTAGATTCTACTTTAAACCTGTAACCAGTGCACAGGCTGTTGAAGATGAAAAGGACCTTAAAAGAAAAGAAAGTGAGGTTCAGAAGTGATGTAGTTTAGTAAGCACCAGAGAACCAGTAGGTGACAGTCTGAATTTCACTAGGCTTCCTAAGTGAAAAAATCATTGTTCTCCTGCTATACCAAGCTAAGCTCTCAAGCCTCAGAACTTTTTTAAATGATATTTTTATTCAATCTCTGAGAATTTCATACAGTATACTATGATTATATTCCAACACCCCTCCCCTATCTCTTCTCAAGTCCACCCCCACCTCTCTAACCAACCCCCCACCTGACACACACACTCTCTCTTAATGTCCTCTAATTTTTAAGGCCTATAGAGTCTAATTTGTATTCCTCAAATACTTAGGTGTGGGTCTAGCATCTGGAGTGTGGTCAGCCTAGCCAGTGTCACACCCTTGAAGAAAACTGACTCTCCCTCTTCTAGCAGCTTCAGAGCTTTTTTTTTTTTTTTTGAGACAGGGTCTCCCTGTAGCCCCCAGCTGACCTGGAACTCACTATGTAGACCAGGCTGGCCTTGAACTCACAGAGATCCGCCTGCTTCTGCCTCCCAAGCACTGGGATTAAAGGCATGCACCACCACGCCCGGCTGCTTCAGAGCTTTTTAATGCTCTGTCTTGCCATCTGTTGGTCTTTCTCCAGGTCTTGCAATATTTAAACCAAGATTACCCAATTTCATAATCTCTACCCAATGCCAATGATTACTGTTTGAAATTCCTCCCAAAAAAGTATGTGCATGTTCTACTTCTCTCCTGCTCTGCCTCACTCTCATCTTTCCCTTTCACACATGCTCTTGTTCCCTATCTTTCAGTAAGCACATCAAGAAAAATAAGCCCCAGGGGCTGGAGAGATGGTTCAGTGGTTAAGAGCACCGACTACTCCTGCAGAGGACCCAGGTTCAGTTCCCAGCACCTACATGGCAGCTAACAACTGTCCATAACTCTAGTTCCAGGGGATCTGATGCCCTCTTCTGACTTCCACAGGCACTGCCTAACATGAGTATACATACAGGTAGGCAGTACACTCATACACATAAAAATAAATTTTAAAAAAATTTTAAGGGGCTGGAGAGATGGCTCAGCAGTTAAGAACACTGGTTGTTCTTGCAGAAGAACAGCACCCACATGGCAGCTAACAACTGTCCATTAACTCCAGTCCCAGGGGATCCAACAGCCTCTTCTAACCTCCTCGGGCACTGCACAACATGGGTGCACTTACCTACATACAGACAATACATGCATATACATAAAATAAAAATAATAAATAAAATCTTTAAAAAAAATTTTTAAGTAAAATAAGCTCCAACAATGGGATACGGTCAGGTTATCAATGAAAAACCTTCCCCTAGAAACTAATAAGGTGCTTGAAGGTTGGGGGTGTAGTTTAGTGTTAAGAGTACTTTCCCCCAGCCAGGCATGGTGACACACACCTGTAGTCCCAGCACTTGGGAGGCAAAGGCAGGCAGATCTCTGTGAGTTCAAGGCCAGCCTGGTCTACATAATAAGTTCCAGGCCAGCTGGGGCTACAGCTTCAAAAAGACCAAAAAAAAAAGAGTGTACACACACACACACAGAACAAATGTTATGAATAAATGAATTAATGAGGTGTTTCGGTATATGAAGTCCAGCCCCCTCCACCTCCATTCTGATGTCTCAGACTCTTCCACGTAAGATGATTTTTAGTCTTTCAAAACCCTGTTATAGTTCCCTTGCAAAACAAAATGCTTCTGGGGCTGGAGAGATGGCTCACTGGTTAAGAACACTGGTTGTTCTTGCAGAAGACCCAGGTTCGTATCCTAGCACCCATATGGCAGCTAACAACTAACTGTCCGTAACTCCAGTCCCAGGGGATCCGACAGCTTCTTCTGACCTCCACGAGCACTGTACGACACAGGTGCACTTACCTACATGCAGGTAATACAAGCATACGCATAAAATAAAAATAGTAAATAAAATTTTTAAAAAATGTTTCTATTAGTATGTTTACTACCTTGCTCACCATATCTGACACATCTAAATCACTATGATGAAGAAATTCAAGTTTGTCCCTGTAGTAAATCAAGAAATGTGATCACAGACAGTCTAAAGACAGAAACAAGGTTAAGATCAGGAGATACTTAATTTAATTCTAAATAATGGCATATCTCAGTCTCAGCTCAAGAGCTATATATTTATTCAAATAATGCCTACTGGGCACCTGTTAGGACCATACAACTTTGCCTAATTCTGCAACCAAAGGCAAAAAGTAAATGATGCATTCAACCAAAACAATGCTTCCAATTTTTTTTTTTTTTTTTTTTTGGGGGGGGCATTTTACTTATGTTTGTATCATTTTTGTATTTTCTGCCTCTGGGTAATGGCTGTTATTCTGAAATCCAACAAGGGTATTTATTGAAATAAAAGTTTCCAGTGTATAGGATTAAAGGCGTGCGCCACCACACCTGGCTTCCAATATTTTAAAAAATACATTCACAGGGCTGGAGAGATGACTCTAAGAGCACTGGTTGCTCTTACAGAGGACCTGGGTTCGGTTCCCAGCACCCACATGGCGGCTAACAACCATCCGTAACTCCAGTTCCAGGGTATCTGATGCCCTCTTCTGGCCTCCACAGGCATTGCACAATATGGGAGCACTTACACACATAAAAAATAAAATATTAAAAAATATATATACATATACTCACTTGTAGTCCTCTTATATTATCAACTGCAAGGACCATTGTTTCATTTTCTTGGAATACAACATCTATTTCTTGCTTTAACACTATAGCAGAGTTCTTACAAACCTTCTTTGTCTCCCAGACCTGCTTAAGAGATAAACAAAAATACCTGTACTCTACTCTCTGAGATATTGTAAAGGCAAGTCTTAGTCTCAAAGCAAGATAACAAACTATTCTTCACTATTAAAATGCCTATGATATCAAAAAAATTTCAATTACCAGGCTATAAAGCAACAATAAATATTAACACATCCTACAGTAAGAAGTAGTTACTATGAATTGTAGGCTCTGGAGTTAAAATGTCTCTATAAATTCTACATTTATATAAAACCTGTGACATTAGGCAGGTTACTTAACTCAGTATTACCCAAAGATAAAAACTATCCACTGGCTTTCAAACTGATGCCCATCTACAATAAGATACAGAGCCTACAACCAGAATATAAATCAATTATATCACTAAACAGTCTATAACAGTCTGTGCTTTGTGACACTGTTTTGTTTTCTTTTCTTTCTTATAAAGACCTTCTGGTAAGGGAAGGAGTGGGTTGATGTTTATTCTAGACGTTTATTCCAGTTCAAGTTTAATGAGCCTGGCACATGAAGCAGCAATGGCCTTTCTACGCTTTTCTGACCCCAACATTTCTGTGCTCTTTTCCTCAGCTGCAGAAAAGAACTACTGTGAAAACTAGTACATTAGTACATACATAGTACTTTGCACAATGTCTGACATACAGGAGCATTAAATAAGTTTCAGCTATAATTTGTATAAAACTCTGCACTGGATGCTACCAGCACCAGTCTCATTAGAATTCCTGGTCTCAAAAGCTACATATAAATCTAAATAAAATGGGTAAATAAATCAGGGGAGTAGTGGGGTACTGGAGGCCAGAATTTGATAAACATTATTCAAAATTGACACAGAATTATCTAGCATTAAAGGAAAGAAATATTCTCCCAAACAAGAAAGGCATGGAGGGACTCTTAAGATGAAGATTTCAATAAGCAGAGACCCAGGAAAGCAAGGTATTCCATACACAAGAAGCTTCTTAAAGGACAAAAGAAGAAGGTGTTTGGGAAAATGGTGCCCATAGGAATAAGCTGAAAGACAAGACTGGACCCAAAGGAGGTCACACTGTGGAGAAGCTAAACAGTAGACTGAGAAGTATGTATTTTTAATCTCAGCACTAGGGAGGCAGAGGCAGAGGCAGGCAGATCTCTGTGAGATCAAGGCCAACCTGGTCTACACAATGAGTTCCAGGCCAGAGACCCTGTCTCAAAAAGACATAAAAAGATGAAGAAGACGATGACAACGACGACGACAAAGACAAAGAGGTGTGTATTTACTCTGATGAGCAAAAGAGCCGCAATCTGTTCTTGAACAAAAATGACATAACCAGATATATAGGGCTAGCTCAGTGGTAGAACATACATTAGCAAGCATGAGACCCTGGGTTTAATCACTGGCACTAAAATAAAATGAAATAAAATAAAACATACCTAGACTGTATTGCATATAAGGAAAATATCATGAAAGCACTGTGTAGAAAAGCAGTAAGAAAAACATGGAGGAATCTAATGAGGATCTGAATATGGGCAGTTGAAATGGAAAAGTAGAGATAAATAACAGTAAAATGAAAAGGTAGAATCTATGAGAATTATCAAGTAATTAAATGTGGGAATTCAAAAGGAAAGAGTCAAATATTATACTCAAGGTCGGGCATGGTGACACATGCCTTTAGTCCCAGCATTCAGGAGGCAGGGACAGGCAGATCTGTATGAGATCAAGACCAGTAGATCTCTGTGAGATGGAGGCCAGCCTGGTCTACATAGTGAGTCCCAGGCCAGATGGGGCGACAGGGAGACCCAGTGTCACATAAAACAAAACAAAACAAAATTATTCTCAGAAGTCAGAAGATATATGTGAACAGTTTACTCACTTGACTCCCCACAGCACCTGGCCCACCCAGATAGTCCATGAACTGTGTGAATGAATGAGACTGTCATAATTCACATACCAGCACTTCTCCAGGATAAATATAAATCTAGTAGCTTCTTCTTTTACTTCCTCCAAACTTCCCAATAATTTCATTCTCTGTAGATTTAACTTAAATGTTCAAAATGAAAAATCTCAAAATTTCTTACCCTGATTGTCTGGTCATCAGAAGCTGTCAAAAATGAAGAACCATCAGGAGAAAACATCACACCATGAACCCAACTCAAATGTCCTCTGCAATCAGCTACCTTTAAGCATGAGTCTATATTCCATAACTACAAAATAAACAAAATATAGGAAGTCACATCCATAAACATTTAAACACAGTATGAATACTAAAAATAGCAAGAATGACCCAACAATGCTACTTCTAGAAACACAGCTCCCAAACACAGTCTCAAAAACAAAAAATAATACACACCACCAAGCGTGGTGGTGCATGCCTTTAATTCCAGGACTCAGGAGGTAGAGACAGGAAAATCTCTTAGTTTGAGACCAGCCTGGTCTATACAGCGAGTTCGAGGCCAGCCAAAGCTACATAGCATGGCCTTGCTTCAAAAATAATAACTTATGCTTATGCATTAGCTTATTCTTTCTACAATTTTAATTTTTCATTTGTTTTTATTGAGTTTTTGTGTATTTTATAGAGAATATCTCAATCTTAATCATCTTTATACCCCTGTCCCCACTGGCACCACCCCCGACTGGAATCTATATACTCTGTTAATCCGTGTTAAGGCCCAATGTGTCAAGTCAGTGACCCCAGACATTCCTCAGTGCAAGCCCATCCACTGACGTCTAGTCAATCTATCTAGAATCTCTTATTTTAGGAAGATCAGCTTTTCTTCACCCAGCAGTCATCAGCTGCCAATGTTTCTTCAGCTAAGATTGGGGTCTGCTGTTCATTTCCTCAGTTCTATGCTGGGTTTATGTCTGCCTGAGTTTGCATGAGACTTGTGTATGCTGACAACCATTGCCACAGAATCATATGAGCAGGGTTCCAGGAGCTTGTAGGACTCTGTTTCCATGTGGTTATGTACCTCCTCCCTGGCTCTTACAATCTTTCCACCCCTTCTTCCACAATGGTCCCTGAGCCCTGGATGGGTGAAGTTTAATATAGGAGTCCTGTCCAAGGACCAACTCTCAATCTCTACATTTTGGCCATTTGTGACCTTTTGTGTTCCTGGCCCTCTATTGCATGAGGGATCTTCATTAATGAGAACTGATTCATTAGTGTTACCTTCATTACCCCTGTTAGCATATGACACTGGTGCAGTAGTGGCGCTTTTATCTTAGGGACAATCAACAGCTACCTAATTGGACTAAAAGCCCACTCAATGGGAGGAAACTCAAGTGTGGTACTATAAACATAACCAAATACAGATGGCTGGAGAGGTAGGTCATAGATTTTACAGAAAACCCCAAGACTGTAACATCCCTAGACTAAAGTAATTTCTTGCTATGTGCAAAAGATGTATCCTTATATTTACAGACAAACATCGTAGTCACCACTCATCAAAGAAGTTTATTTTGCACCAGTTGGAGACTATTACCAAGTGCCACAACTGGTCACACACAGACATTGTCTATGTGTCCAGGCCTAAGCGACACATCTACAATGCAATTATTTTTATTGGCTGATAAACAGAAATAACCAAACTGTCATGAGAGTATAGCTCAGTTGGCAGAACTCACACTTACTAAGCACAAGGTCCAGGGCTCAACCCATAATATACACATATGCATATAAAGACATGATTATATTGTACACAGGAAAAATACCTTGAAAACACCATGGAAATTAAACAGAGTATAATTAATTACCTAATAGAATACTGTGCAAAATGGAATGAAAAACACACCCTTGTTTTAAAAAAAAAAAAAAAGAATCGAGCTCTGATATACTGCTAACAGAAAAAAATAGAGAAAAATATATATTATCTTTTATATAAGAATTAGATATTTGAAATCATCAAAGAATAAAAATTATTTTAAAAAAATAATTAGAGGGGCTGGGGATGTGGTTCAGTTGGTAGAGTGCTTGCCTATCATGCACAAAGCCCAAGGTTGTCTCCAGTACCATATAAAACCTAGGATGGGGCAGAAGGATCAGAATCTCAAGATGAGCCTTGGCTACATAGTTTGAGGCCAGCCTGGGCTACATGGGATCTTGTCTCAGAAAAAAAACTGGAAGTATGTAAACATTCAGGTAGATATAGATATGGACATATGCATACATACAGTAATCTGCTTATATAAGCAAAAAGGAACATTGTTACCCATGAGATGGGGAAAAATGAGGGGAGGGAAAGGGGTAAGGATTTCCTTCAAAATAGCTTATTATAAAGCTTTGAATTTGAAATCACACAAGCCATTTTATCTTTAAAAAAAAAAATCAATCTATCAATCTACGGGCTAGAGAGATGGTTCAGTGATCGAAAGCACTGGCTGCTCTTGCAGAGGACCCAGGTTCAGTTCCTAGCACACACACACGGTGGCTAACAAACACAACTCCAGTTCCATAGGATGCAATGCCCTCTTCTCGTCTCTGCAGGCATTGCACACACATGGTGCACTTATATACATGCAGGGAAAACACTCATACACATAGAATTAAAAAAAAAAAAATCTAAAAAATAATAAACAAAGCAATTTCCATATAGGAATTACTTCTCTCTAATACTGTTATTCAACCCTCACTTGAACTGGCTGCAAACCTCCACAATAAATGACGCTAATTGCAACATGTATACATTTCTCTTTTTATTCATTCTTATTACGAACTGTCAATGTCGGCCACCAGCCTGGCTGGATTTTATCCTGGGTTCTGGCGTAAATTACGCCAATATATTCCAGTCTAATATAAAGTACCATATGTGCCTGAGTTCCTCTCATTACACTTCAAATTGCAGACCCACTTTATGATTTCAGAATTAGCAAGGACAAAACAAGCACTTCATCACATGCCCAGTGGTTTTCATTCAGTGAGTACTATAGTTACAAAATAATGATATGAAATTTCCTCTGCCTTATCTCTAGAGTCCAAACTGGGAAATGCACCAGTGAAGACCAAAAATTAGAGTGATCCCACAACTGAAAGGTCTCAAGACTCTTCCCTCCCTCCCTTCCTTCCTTTTTCTTCTTCTCTCTCCATCATTTGTCACTCAGAGCCTCCAAAGTGCAGTCCTTACAGTTCAAAAAGGAAGGCATCATTTCCAGGAGCTTTCTAAGGATCACAGCAGGTACAGACAGAAATGACAGGAAAGGATGAAAGAGGAGTTGCTCTTCCACTCCTTTGAAAAATCCTGCCATTATTCAGAGAGGGGAAATTCCTGCCACATATACTTTGAGGATTTCAAGGTCCCCTAGAAGATCTAAATCTTCCAGTTCAAGGACAATGCCCAAGAAAACATGTCTACTTACATCCTGCTTCACAGACCCTTGTTTTGAAGGGGTAGAGCTCTTGAGCTCACTGGCCCCCATTTGCCACAGGAAGTGTCTAGCAGCAAAGGCTAGCATTATTGCACTGCTGTGCTTGACAATCAGAAGGAGCAGGGGCCAGAGAGAATGGTTCAAGATGGCTCAAGGGAGACTGGCACAAGCCTGTTGACCTGAATTTGATCCCTAGAACCCATATACAAGTGGAAGGAGAAAAAGGACTCCACAAAGTTGTCCTCTGAACACTACACATGCACCACGGCACATGCACAACCCCACACCATGCACAGGCATGCGCACGCGACGCATGCACACACACACAGAGTAATAATAAATCAGAGGAGCTGACAGAGCTCACCCCTCACTTTCATCTGTAACTTCACACTGAAGAGCAACTCTTAGCAACTCTTGTCTAAAGCCTTCCTATTAAGTGGTAAAGTTGGAAAACTCACTAAAAACTTAAAATAAGTGCAGAACACTGAAGAGGTTCCTTGAAGAAAAGCTTGTGAACCAAGTTAATATCCCTACTTTTTCACATGAAGACCCTTTACTGATTCCAGAATCTCAATCTCAAAAGACCTCAAACTACCTGGTGGTTTAAGAAACAACTCAAGGAATTTCTATCAGAATGCTTGGAATGAATCAAAGTTTGAAGGAAAAACACAATGTACTATTTTTTTAGTAAGTTAATATACCAACTCACTGGGTAGTAATCTTCCAGAGCTAATCAGATATGGACTCTGAATATAAAATTTAATAGGAATTACAAAATTGTAAACATAAACACAATTTATAAGAATTGTTGTATTTATTTGTGCTTGGCAGTGACAATGCTATCTTAACCAATATATAATTTCCATCTTACCTTACTCAAATAACTAAGAATCTAAACTGAATGTATCATTTATTTTAAAAAGAATAAAGTCTGGGGCTAGAGAGATGGCTCAGCAGTTAAGAGCACTGACTGCTCTTGCAGAGGACCCAGGTTTGGTTCCCAGTACTGACAAGGCAGCTAACAACTATCCATAATTCCAATTCCAGGGCATGCCCTTTTCTGACCTCCACAGGCATTTTAACAACATGGGTTATATACATGCAGGCAATACACACACACACACACACACACACACACACACGAGATGGCGATTAAAAAATTTTTAAAAAGAATAGAGGATGGAAAGATGGCTCAGTGAGTAAGAGCCACTTACATAACGATCTGAGTTTGAAACCTCAACATCCATGTAAATAGCCCACATATGCCTGTCACCCCAGCACTGAGGGGTGGAGACAGGAAGATTGTGAAGGCTCCCTGGCCAACCAGCCCAGCCAAGACAGTAAAGTCCTGTTCAGTGAAAGACTCTGTCTCAAGACAATTAGAGAGTGACACTCTCTGGTCTCCGCATGTGCCCACAGTATGTCTACATTTATATGCCCACACACAAAAATCACACACTCACACATTCACAAGAATAGCATCTATACTTACACTGCTTATGAGATATTATGTACCCATACAATTTAAGAAATGCCTGCCAGGTGTGGTGGCATATGCCTTTAATCCCAGCACTTGGGAGGGCAGTGGCAGGTAGATCTTTGAATTCAAAGCACATTATATACATATATGAAAATATAATGAATCTTACTTAATATAAGCTAATTAAAAAACATTAAGCGGCTGGGAGATGGCTTAGTGGGTAAAAGCATTTTTTGTGCAAGCATGAAAACTGAAGTTCAAATCCCCAGCACCCACATAAAAAACCAAACATGGCTGTATATGCCTATAATCAAAACATTTGGGGATGGAGTTAGACAGATTCCCAGAACTAAAAGGCCAGTCAGCCTAGCCAGTGAGAAGTTCTGTCTTAAAAGAATAAGGTGGAGAAGGACTAAGGAAAGTCTCCACTGGCCTCTATATGTATTTGCACAGGTATACACACCCACATGCATGCAACACACATACACATACACACATGCATGCACAGACACATACAAGAAAGGGAATGTAAGAATAACTTTTATAAAATGAATATAATCTGAACTAATGACTTAATTAACCTTAGCAAACTCACTGAACCATGTGCTCTTGTGATCTGCGCACCTGATACTATTTCCTGGCAAACTTCAATTTGCTACTCTACCCAAAACCATAATGAATGTACATGGGTATGTTTTGAGATTTAACATATTGAAGCACTGAAAGGCAGTATGTCCATCTTCATCGAAAACATGAAGATTGAGAAAGGAAGCTTGACATTGTGTACATGAGATATGATTCTAGAACTAGGGATGAAAAGGCAAGATGATCTAAGAAGACAGGGGTGGATTCAAGTTTGTACTTCCCTAAGTAAAGCTGGAAATGGTTGTGAATAAAATTATGGGTGAGTCCTGATTCAGGGACACAGTTCCAGGGTACAGTTCCAAAAGATATCTGGGGGAACTGGCATCCTCTGAGTTCAGGTCCACTCTTAAAAACTAGGCCGGGCATGGTGGCGCATGCCTTTAGTCCCAGCACTCGGGAGGCAGAGGCAGGGGGATTTCTGTGCACTTGGGGGCCGGGGGGGGTCCCTACGGGGGTCCACGCCCACCGGGGGGGGACAGGGATCCCCTCCCAAAAAAAAAAAAAAAAAAAAAAAAAACTAAAGGTAAGAGTCAGGCTTTTTATTCAGGTAATTGTGATGTAATGTGGCATGGGAGTGCTGCAAAGGAAAAGAAAACCAAGTACTGTATCTTAGCCTAGGAAATCAATGGTCATTCTATTGTCTCTCTAGTACCCACAGCACATTAAATATTCAATAAATGCTTGGTAAATGATCCTGTCACTCTATCTTTATAAAATCATGTCTTCAATCACATTAAATAATAAAGTTGGTTATATAATTGAATATCCCAAAGTTATAGGTCATTAGGCTATGAAGAAAATACAATTTTCCGAGAAAGCATTCCTCAGCAGCTAATGATTAGGCAGCCCATTCTTTGCCAACCTTGGATCTCTAGAGGCCCATATTCCATTGAATAAATTCAATTACTCACCTCCACATAGTATTGGGACAGGGCAACCACCGCCAAATGGTCATAGGGGGAGAAGTCACAGTACTGGATGGTGCTATGACGACCTGTATGGATTTCTGACAATAGGCCACTGGTATGAACATCAAAAAGCTGTCCAAAAAAAAAGTTGTCAAAATAAAGAGATATCTATAAAGACAAAACATTTTAAACTATACCCAAATAGAATCTAAATTTATTTTTAGAAGATTCTTCTTATATTTCAGATATAAAAATGTAAGTACTGAAAACTTACAATTACTGATAACTGGCATAAATATCAATATATGTATAATTTAAAAATATTGTTTATCTTGAAAGATATCCTCTATAAAGGAAAATTCATCACAGATGCTATCTTTCAAGCTGGCCTTGAGAAAAATAAAATCTTTGTGAACATATGAATGGACCAGCCAATCAACACACAAAGCAGTTCTCCTACTGCTGATTCAAAAAAAGAAAATGCACACTGGTAAACAAACATGGCCAAAATAATATAAAGCAGAGGCTTGCTAAAATGTGATTACCTCAATCATTTCTATTTCTTTTCAGAACCACCAAATTACTCCACTACAATTAATCATTTTCCCTTTTTTTTTAACCAAAAAGGCTATATTTAAGTAATTCTAAAATTTCTTCATTTCAGTTTTTTGTTCTGTTTTGTTGAGACAGGGTCTCCCTGGAACTCACTATGTAGACCAGGCTGGCCTCAATCTCACAGAGCTCAACCTCCTCTGCCTCACAGGTGCTGGAAATAAGGTGTATATCACCATGCCCAGTCCTTTCATTTCAACTTTTAAAGAATTTTAAATGCTGACTATGTTCTCCTAAGTTTTTGCCAAATGGTAAGACTATATATACTTAATACATACATACATACATACATACATACATAAAATATGTTGATACTATCTGGTAATTTAAGACAAAGGCACAGTCTTTAGGAAGAAAACAAAGCCTTCTTGTGGGAGCCAGAGAATCTTAGTGAATGCACAGCACAGGGAACATGCACAGATGGTAAGCAGCACAGCAGTGGAGGCCAAAAACAAAGGACAGAAAACCACATTCAAACATTCCCAGGGCAGGCTGTTCTTAAAAATTAGTGCCTCGGAATGGCAGAGAAAGCTTGGCAAATAGGAAACAGAAAACTGTCCCAATCATGAAATAATAAAAACGACCTAACAACAGGAGTAAACTAACAATACAACAGGATGTGAAATAAGTAAGTGGAGAAAGGAGAAAACAGTGAAAAATCAGGACCTACAAATAGTCAAGAGCAATCTTAGAGTAGCCTTATTTCAGCATGGTAAATTAGGGAACTGGTCTACACGTTTTTAAAAGAAGACATTTCACACATTTCCTTTTTCATTAGAAAAGATCTTATAAGTCTTTAGAATGACCTTTCCCCTGGGGTTCACGATTTACCTCAGTGGTAGAGCGTTTGCCCCAGCACTAGGACAGAGGAAGAAAAGATTTTTCCTTTAACATCACTGTTATCTGGAAAATGTACATCAAACCACCACTCATACCTACTACAATGGCTACATATTTTTAAGTAGAAAATAACAAGTGTTATAAAAGGTGCAGAGAATTAAAACCTTGTACATTGCTAATGGATGTAATGCAGCCACTGTGGAAAAGTCATGGTTCCTCAAAAATCTAAATACTAGACTATCATTATGACCCAGCAATTCCACTCTTAGAGATACACAGAAAAGTTAAGAAAATAGGGACTTGGGAAGAGTAGAGATGGTGCAAATATAATATTCACGCATGAAATTCTCAAAAAATAAATATAAAAAAATAAATCTTGGGGCTGGAGAGAAGGCGCACCAGTTAAGAACACTGGTTGTTCTTGCCAAAGATCTGGGTTCAAATCCCAGCACCCACATGGCAGCTAACAACTGTACCTAACTCCAGTCCCAGGGGATCCGACAGCCTCTTCTGACCTCCATGGGCACTTGGGAGGGGGGGGCTCAGACAGATATCTGAACATCAGAATCCACTTCAGTATTATTCACAATGCCAAAAAGTAGAAGGAAACCAAGTGCCTATACACAGATAAGGAGATTTAAAAAACTGTGGTGTGCACACACATGCACAGATATTATTTAGTCATAAAATGGAATGTAGTTCTGATACATTCTACAACATAGATAAGCCTTAAAAAGGCTATGCTGGATGAAATTAGTCAAACACAAAGGAAACATTATATAAACTCCACATGTGTAAAATATCCAGAACAGGCAAAGTCATAAGTTATGTTAAAAGTCACCAGGGGCTGGGGATAGAGAATGGAGAATTATTAATTAATGGTTATGGAGTTTCTTTTTGAGTGCTGAAAACATTTTAGAAATGCAGTGGTAATGACTGCACCAGGCACCTGTAATTACAGCTAGTCCAGAGGTTGAAGCAAGAGGTGTGTAACTTTGGGGCAAACCTAGGCAATTTAGCAAAATGCTGTCTCAAAGTAAAAATGAAAAAGCACAGAAGTTGTAGAGTCGAGTCCTTGCCTATATCTGTAAGACCCTAAGTTCAAGCCTTAGTATCAGAAAAAAATAAAAACATTAAAATGACAATTTTTACATATTTTACAATAAAAACTAATTTTTTAATCTTCAGATTCTGTAAATGCAATGGTTGCTTTCTATTCTTACAAACTTTTAACACAGTGAAGACAAAAGAGGTATTTTTCCTTAGTTTCCTGCTAGAGAAATATAAATCAACAAGCAACCAAAGATTCAGGTTCAGAGTTACTAGATCAGTATAGTTGAATTATGTTGTTTAAAACAGTAATTCCAGGGACTGGAGAGATGGCTCAGCGGTTAAGAGCGCTGACTGCTCTTGCAGAGGACCCAGGTTCGACTCCCAGCACCCACATGGCGGCTATGAACTGTCCTTAACTCCAGTTCCAGGTGAATCTGAAACCCTCTTCTGACCTCCACGGCATTGCACGACACAGATGCACTCACATACATGCAGTCAATACACTCACACACATAAAATAAAAATTTTTTAAATTGAAAAAAAAAAAACACAGTAATTCCTCTCAGTCACGTCTCTTAAAATTATTATTAGGGCAGACTGTCAGTGGGCCACAATGCAGATAACTTGGCTCTCCTACTCACAGTCCAACTTTGGATAATCACATGGCTGCTCAGAACTCAGCTCCCCCATTATTATCACAGGGCTACTGCAATCTACTACATCTCTTAGATATTTATATTTTTAAAAATCATGTCTGAGTATTTGAATATCACATACACGCTATCATTAGATTTTTAAAAAGAGGAAGGTATTTTCTTATCCTTTACTTTTTTGTATATCCTCTTCATTTACTGTATGAAAATCTCACAATCTTTTTCAGTTCTTAAGTCACCAAATCATAAAATCTTAGGGATAAAAAGTATTTTGATATGTGAGAGCGCTTATCTAATCCCTAAAAGATTTTAGGGTTACCTCTTCAGAGGGGGAATGTTAGGGTAGCAAAAAGCCCCATTAAAAGAAAAAGTACAGAAAGTTGTCAGAAAAAAGTGATGGGGAGCTACGGCAGGAGTTAGAGGGGAGGGAGTGGGTGTGGTTTTGATCAAAACACCTTATACGGATGTATGAAATTCTCAGTAAATTTTTTTTTAAGTTAAAAAACAGTATTTTGAAAATCATCCAAATCAATCTATTTTAAATTATTTTTATTTAAAGTGATTTTATTTAAAGCGAAGAAAGTATCCTATGTTTTACATAAATTGGAGGAACACTGGACTTAACATTAGAAACTGTTTCTGTATTATAGGGCTTTACATATGTAGTGTGGGAAGAGTAGTACATAGTATAATTTCCCAAACCTGTGTGACTACGATGACCTTTTCTTACAAAGCCTTTCATATCCCCCAGAGAGCATGGTTTAAAGAATTATGAGAAGTTAGAAAGCCTGCCCCAATTTACACGGCTAGATTAGGAAATGAAAATTTTAAGAGAAGTTTAAATTTTACGTCAGAATAGAACTGATTTTTAAAATGGTAGTACTTACAAACATTTTATTTTTTGCTGCAACTAATATTTTAGCACCATCTGCAGACCATGAACAACATTTCACTATCACTTCCATATCCTCTTGAGGGTCTTCGGAGTGTAGGAAAAACTGCTTCACATTAATGCTTTTCCTCTCATTTGCTGACCTTACATCCCACAGCTTTGAAAAAAAAAAAAAAAAAAAAAAACAAGTTTTACTTTCAACTCATACCTCTAGAATTCTACCTAGATTAAACGTCAAGCAAACTTATTCCACCAAATGAATGTCTGCTTTTTATAAGGTTTTTAAACTAAGTACTACAATTTCATTTAGAAAAATTATAAACACTGTCCAAAATGCAGAATGTAAAATTAGATGTTAATAGAGCTGCACATAGTGTGACACACTTGTAATCCCAGTACTTCAGAGGCTGAAGTAGAAGGACTCTGTCTCAATGGAGGAAAAAAAGGTGAAGAGGCTAACCATCAGGTGTGGACAGTAAGGACAAATATGGAAGGAAGGACTCACAGCTTGCCACTGCTGCCCTCTGCTGTGAAGGACAGGAAGTGTATTTCACATCTACCAACCGCACAGCAGGAAGACAAGATATGCCCAGCAGGACATCCAGAGTTAAGGAAATCCTGAAAGGAAACAAGCCTCCTTATGTGTTTGGGGGGAAGGGGGCAAGGCAGGGCTCCAGAACTAATTGGCTCCCGAGAAATAGGGTATGAAATACTCTAAACCTCATTCTAAAGCACCACACAAGTAGCACAAAAAACAAAGGCCTCTGGAAAGGTAAATCTTCACTCTCCCAGAATTCTAGCAGTGCCAGGTTTCACAGAATAATGACTCCCATGTCCTAGACCAGGGGTTAGCTAGAGAAAGGAAAAGGAAAAAGAAAAGATAGCCAAATCCCAAAACTCCCCTTGTAAAAACTGTGGATAAACTGTATAAAATAGAGACAAGAGGAAGTAAAATAGCCTTCCCTGATACTAAAGAAATAAAAAGGAAAAAGGCCAGTGAGATGTCAACAAGTAAAGGCACCTCTGACTCCAAGCCTGATGACCTCTCAGTTTGATCTCCAGGAGCCATAAATTGTCCTCTGACCTCTAAACACATCACATAGACATACACAATACACAGACACACAGACACAGACACACACAATAATGTAATTAAAAGTTTCGAAAATAAACAAAACCCAAACTCTGGAAGCTTCAGTTATGTCATCTACAATATTTAAGAAATCACACTGTTACCCTATTATTTGGAAGAACAAGGCAACCACTGCTTAGATTTAAGAAAAAGAAAGCTAACGTGATTTAAATTTATTACACCTGCCTAAACAACATCTGCTTCTGCATCTAATTAGCTCCCAGCCAAGCAGTGATAAAATCTCACTCACCAGCAAATGATCTAAACTGATACCACTTCATTTTGAGGAGGTTACTGCATTGCATCCAGGGTTCCTACACACTCTATATCCTAGAGTGCTTTAAATAACAATCTTTAAATAAACCTCGCATTTTTTAACGGTAATTCTTTTCTAACATTTCTTATTGAATTTCTGAAATTTTCAAACAATACAATGGTATTTAGGTCCCCTCCCCATCCACATCTCCTCTTATTGTCCCTGCCCAATTTAATGTTCTCTATTTTACACACACACACACACACACACACACACACACACACACACACACACACGTATATAGTGTCTATAGAGTCTAATTTGTGTCTCCAAATGTCTTTCAGTGTGGGTTCATCCACTGAAGCCTGGTTAACCTACCAAGAATTCCATCCTTCAAGGAGACTGTCTTCCAGCCCCCTGCCCTCCAGCAGCCATCAGTTGCCAAAAGTTCCTTAGGTTAGGTTGGGGTTTCTCACCTACTTCCCCATGTCTATGCTGGAATTTTGTCTGAAAACTCACATTTTGAAGTAATTTTTCAATGCCCCCAAAATACAGTCTTATCAACATGATACCCTATAAGAAGCTAAGGAAACTACAGGGCCTTTGAGGCAGAAAAATCATTTTACAGTTCCTATTCTCTCAGATGGTAAACAGCTTCACAAGAATGTGACCTTGACACACTGTTATCTAGCATCATTTTGCAGGACCTCTGCTTACTACATGTCACTGTATAAATCAGCCACTGACACATTAATAGCACAGTTGGAAAAGCATCACAAGCACAGGTGGTTCTCCCCAAGAGTGTAGTAATGCCTGTCCCCGACTGCTAATGACACTCGCACGTGAATAAAGAAATCAAAACCTGTCTCTGAAAAGCATGACATAAAAATTTCTTAGTCCAGGACTCCACACTGACCATGCTGCCAGCTAGGAAATGCAATCAGCCTACATGTTCATCAACTAGTGAACAGGTAATGAAAATGTGGTACAGAAATACAATGAAATTTTACTCAGCTGTAAACAAAAATGAAATCATCAAATTTTTATGCAAATGCTACTCTGAGCTTTAACCAGAGAAGCCTCTCTTTCCAGTGAATGATGGTAAACGCAGAGATTCATGACTACACGAGGTGCTAAGAATAAGTGAGAGATGAGCGCTCAGTCCTAAACAAGATATTTATAGCATTCCCTCTAAGGCTCTGGAACATTTTGGAAGATGGGGTGGAAAGAATGTAAGAGCCAGAAGATAGGGAGAAGGGCAGAAAATGCCATCTTCTGGGTAAGACACAGTCATTGTGATCACGAACTCAGCAGCTGTAAACGCCTGTGCTGGGTCTGTACAAGAATGGGCCTGGCAGTGAAATGGCTCAATAGGTAAGGGTACTTGCTGCCAAGCCTGACAGTCTGAGCTCAGGATCTAGAATCTATATGGTAGAAGGAGAGAAACAACTCCTGCAAGATGTCTTCAAACTCCACATTTGTGCTGGAGCATACACGCATACACGCACCCACATATGTAATTTTTTAAAAAGAATTTGCCTGTCAGCCGGGCATGGTGGCACACGCCTTTAATCCCAGCACTTGGGAGGCAGAGGCAGGCGGATCTTTGTGAGTTCGAGGCCAGCCTGGTCTACATAGTGAGTTCCAGGGCAGCTGAGGCTACAAGGAGACCCTGTCTTTAAAAAAAAAAAAAAAAGAATTTGCCTGTCAACAGCCTGGCAGGGATAGAGAAGTGGCTCAGCAGGCTCTACCTCTTACTGCTAACCTATTTGGTACTGATAGAGTCAGAGCAAGGAGGAGTCATTGCTTTTAGTTGGTACCCACTGGTAATCTCTCCAGGATCCATGAACAGTTCCATTCCAATGGTTAGACTAAATGGGTTACAAAACAAAACCGAAAGTCATGAATCTGGGAAAGGGACAGGTAGGGAATATGGAGGGTTGACAGGGATGGGAGAGAGATAATAAAGGGTAGAGGGAGATAGTAATCAGAATGCATTTTATATACATATATATATATATATGAAATTTTCAAAAAAACAAAAATTTTTAAATGTTCTTAGAGTTTAAAGAAGTTTTATTTTTATTTGAAGGGACACAGTAAGGGTTTATGATCTGTAAATATACTTATTAAACACTGCTAGTCACTGATTCATACATAAACACCAACCTCAAGAGCTTACAGGCCAGCAAGAGAGGTGAAACAAGCATGGGAGAGATTCTAGTGCAAGATATGCCATATGAGAGGAAAAGACGTACACTCAGGAATGCTGTATCATAGCTATGGGCTTGGGGAACACTTGGGCTACATCACCCTATTCCTTCAAGACTGACCTATCTTGGGGCTGGAGAGACAGTTCAGCAGTTAAAAACACTTGCTGTTCTTCCAGCCACCGAATTTGTGGGATGAATTAGGCTGCTTGGTTTTCCCTACTGCAGGCCAGATCAGGGTTTAGGGATTCACTTCTCTTTCTGCTTTCTGGCCTTTACTTTTGTCATCTCTTCACTATTTTCCTTCATTCGTGGGTTATGTCTAGAGAGAAAAATTCCCTTTACTGTTTTACAGGAGTTTTTGGAAGGGCATGGGGGTGAATGTGTGTTTTACCTTCATTTTTAACCTGAACTGTATTTCTTTTAGTAGCACTGTTTTCTACTCATTTGTGCTTGAAACGTGTGTGTATTCTGTTTTCATTTAAAATGTTTTTATATGTATTTAATACTCATTGTGTGCTATAGTAATTTGGCCTTTAAATACAGAAGGAAAAAAGTATGCTCTGTGGCCGAAGTTACTCAGAATCAAGTTGGGAGAGAAGGCAAGATGAACCATAAAAGCACCAAAATTATATGCAAGGCTATTTTTTCATTTTTTTTTTTAAATTATTTATTTAAATTACGTGTTTTGTCTCTCTGTGAGTATGTGAACATACATACTGGTGCCTATGGAGGGCAGAGTCTTTGTAGCCCTAAAACTGGAGTTACAGGTAGTTAGCTATGTGGTGCTGGCACCTGAACCCAGGTTCTCTGGAAGAATAGTGCTTGTTAACCACTGACCCATTTTTCCAGCCCTTGTTTTGTTTTTAAAAAGGCAGGGTCTTACTGTGTTGCTAACTAGGCTGGCCTTGAAGCAATCTTCCTGTTGAGCCTCTGAGTAACTAGAACCACAGCTACTGCACCCAGCCATGAAGAAGGTATTCTGAGAGCAGATGTTTGGTACTTGATGGTACATCCAGGTTGAACTTGTTCTCCCATTTTGTTGTCTTGCTTTCCAACTTTGTACCTTAGCCTAAGCCCTAGGGCATTCCTCTTTTCTATTTGATAATCAAAGTTATCCAAAGGTGGCACAAGATATGTCACTTTAAAAAAAAATTATTAGTTTAATTTTATGTGTATGAGTGTTTTGCTTTCATGTGTGTAAGTGCACCCATTGTCATTTAATGCCAACAGAAGTCAGAAGAGGATGCTGGATCCCCTGGAACTATAGTTAAGGATGGTTGTTAGCCACCATGTGGATGCTGGGACTTGAACCTGGGTCCTCTGCAAGAGCAGTCAGTGCTGTTAACTGTTGAGCCATCTCTCCAGCCCAAGGTCACTCTTTTTAAAAAAAAATGGGCTAAATCAGGAGTCCTCTAAAATGCCATGGAAACCTGTTCCCCTACTTTGCAAGTCTGGTAGGCTGCATTTGTAAGAGCAGAGGGCTACTACGCTGAGCCCAGTAACAGGCAGAGTCAGTACACTGAAAATAAGGAATTAAGGTACATGCTCTGAATGTTAATATCTCTGCCTAGATACCTCAATACATTCCAATGAGTCTTATCCCCACATAGAGGAGAGAGATTTCTCTTAGAACACTCAAGTAGATTGAGACACAAAAACTGACAACAGGAGCTCATCAAAACAAAAAAGCTAAGCCTGCAAGACAGCTCAACGGGTAGAGGCACTAAAAGACAGGCCTAAAGGCACAGTGGCAGGCAAGAACCGACTCCCCAGAGTTATCCTCCGACCTCCACATGAGTATGCACTATGGCATGAGTGCACCTACACTCCCACACTCAGCACAAAACAGATTAAATATTGTTTAAAACATGAAAGACAGCCGAGTGTGATGGTACATACCTTTAAGCCCAGCATCCTTGAGGCAGAGAGAGGCAGGAGGATCTCTGTAAGATCAAAGCCAGGCTGGTCTAAATAGGAGTTTAGGCTGGGACTACAGGGACATGCTGTCTCAAAAAAACAAAAACAGAAATAAAAACAAGCAAACAAGCAAACAAACAAACATGTTAGCCAAAGAACCCTGTAAGGAAACACAATTCTTCATCAGCTTCTTGGTGCTGTTACAAGAGCAAATGGCCAAGGTTCTGATACCAAAGACAGATCTCTATAATGTAGACAGAAACCAAAACAAAAAAAACAGAAAACATTTCTCCAGGGCTAGAGAGATGGATCAACAGTTAAGAGCACTGAATGCTCTTTCAGAGGACCCAGGTTCAATTCCTAGCACCCACATGGTGGCTAACAACCATCCATAATTCCAGTTCCAGGGGTTCTGACACTCTCTTCTGGTCTCCTAGGACATTGCAGGTGAACTACATACATTCAGGCAAAACACTTGTACATACAAAATAAAATAAAAATTTTTAAGTCCAACCACCAATATTCCAGAAAAAGGAAATACAGAGGAAGAAATCAATTCAAGAAGCATCCAGAACTTAATGATGGAAGTTTCTATATTTAAAATGCTCTTTTTCACACCAATTCGAAGTTCCTTAGATCCTTCAACAAAAAATAGACACTATAAGACTGGATTTTATACTCATCAAAGGAATACAGGAAAGACAGAACACCTGACTCTACAGGCCTCAAAATACTAGATGATTATGTGCTTATAATGGAAGATATGCTTAAAAGTTTAAAATTTAAATATTAGATTATAAACCATTCATAAATAATCAGTATAACAAAAATTCTCAGTTGAAGGAAGCTCTTTTCTATAGAAATATAAAAACAGTGCTATAGGTTAGATCTTGAACATCTCGAAAACACCCATAAGTTGGAGGTGTGGTCCCCAGCCTGTGGCACGATCAGGAGGTAGTAGAACATGAGGAGTGAGGGACCTCATGGAACTAAGCTAGGCCACTGATACCTATGCCTGAAGGTGACCTTGAGGTGGGACCCCAGCCCCTTCCTATTTCCCTCTTTGATCCTAGATACCATGGGTACCCAATTTCACTCCCTCCACACTCCCTGCCATTATGTACTGGCTCACCACATGCACAGAAAATAGGGTCAAACTGAAAGCGCCAAAATTGAAGCTAAAATGAGCCTTTCCTCCTTTGTTTATCTCAAGCATGTCACAGTGATGGAAAATTACCAACACCAACAAAAACTTATATCCACTCCCAAGCCATAAGGCTTTCCATCAAATTAGAACCCATTTTAATGATATACAAACGCCTACCTTTAATGTTCCATCAGCTGAACAACTAGCCAAAAGCTCATCATCTGGTGAAAATCTGCAGTGACTGACTGAATTTGTATGACCAAACAAGGTATTTCGACATTCTTTTTGATTCAAATCCCAGAGCTATTTGAAAAAGAAAAAAAAGATAAAATACTAGAAATACTAGTATTGGAACCAAGTATTGTGGCATGTGCCTGTGTTCCAACTACTTGGAAGGCTGAAGCCAGAGATCACTTGAGCTCCCGTTCCAGACTTGCCTAGGCAACAAAATGACACCACCACCCCTTTTAAAAAAATTAAGGTGGAAGGAGGAAGTGTTGGAGGAGAAGAGAGTGAGAGTGAGAGTGAGAGCAAGAGTGGGAGGAGAGATTGGGTTCTGATCAAAATAACATTGTTTACATGTTTAAAACTGTTACAGAATTTTTTTTTTTTTTTGGGGGGGGTCTTTTGGAGACAGGGTCTCCCTGTAGCCCCAGCTGTCCTGGAACTCACTATGTAGACCAGGCTGGCCTTGAACTCACTGATATCTGCCTGTCTCTGCCTCCCAAGTGCTGAGATTAAAGGTGTGCACCACCACGCCCAGCAGGATTTTTTTTTTTTTATTTTTAAGCAGGGGCTGGACAGGTGGCTTAGTAGTTAAGAACACTTGCTCTTCTTCCAGAGGACCTGGGTTTGATTCCCGGCACCCACATGGCAGTTAACAACCATCTGTAATTCCAATTCCAGGGAATTCAAAACCCTCTTCTGGCCTCTGGGGGGGCACTACATGCACCTGGTGCACTTACATACATGAAAGCAAAACACTCATATACATAAAATAAAAATTAAGCTATGCTAAATGGTAAAAAGTCAGAAATCATATTAAGTTCTTCTTTCCCTTCCATTTGAGCTTGTTACAGAATAATATTCAATTAATAGTAACACAAAGGTGTCAAATACAAACTTGTGATCAATAAAAGGGCAACCTTTAGAACAACATCTCAGTCTACTGGGACTTCAAGGCTTTTAGTCTGAGCAATAAATTAACTAAACAATTACTGCTTATTTTTAACTGAGTGAATGGTTTAGAACCAGTATTATTTTTTTGTATGTGTATGAGTATTGCCTGCATGTGTGTAAGTGCATGCATCTCATCCAATGCCTAGGGAGGTTAGAAGATGGCGCTGAATTCCCCTGGAACTGGAGTTACGGACGGTTGTTAGCTGCCATGTGGGTACTGGGAATTGAACCCAGGCCCGCTGCAAGAGCAGTCAGAGTGCTCTTAACTGCTGAGCCATCTCTTCAGCCCACATTATTTTAACTTAATTACAAAAAAGCCTACAATAAGTAATGTATAAATTATCCCCATATTTTTTAAATGCCAAGTTATAAAAATGGTCTAAGCAATGTTTCTATATTTCTAAGGCATCCCAAGCCTTAACATTACTAACTAAAGGGGCTCAGGGATTAAGAGCACTGGCTGCTCTTGCAGAGGACACAGGTTCAGTTCCCAGGATCCAAAAGGCAGCTAACAACCATCCAGAATTCCAGTTCCAGGGGATCCGATGCCCTCTTCTGACCTCTGCCAGTAATGTACGGTACATGTGCACTTACAAACAGGCTATGCGCACAGCTACTATGAAGATTAAGAAAGATAACAGAGTGCAGGCTCATCCTCAACTCTTAACTAGAATAGCAGGCTTTGTGTGTTTATATGCACTACAGGAAACTTTTAAAGAAAAATATTTAGCATCCTAAAAAGGAGAGCAATTTTCTAATCTATTTTTTTGTTTGTTTTTTGAAGTGCTAGGGACTGAATCCAAGGCCATGCATATGCCAGGGTAGCACTCTATCACTGAGATTCATTCCTATCCATTTAAAAACTTTTTAAAGTGTTTGTTTGAGACAAGCTCTTATTCTGTAATGAGGCTATAGAACCCAATGTTCCTCCTGCCTCACCCACCCAAAAGCTTGGATTATGGTGTGGGCCACCACTCTCAACAGAGTCTCTCAGGTTTTCCAAACTGAAATGTTTTGCCTACTCTTCTTAAAAATCTGATTTACCATTGTAAAAATGGTATACCACAAAAAGTTTGAAATAAAATAAAATATCCAAAAGAAGTTAACATCTTTCTAAGACCCCAGAAAATTTAATCTACCTATTTTCATGCATTTAATGAAAAAAAAGGATAATTTTTTTAAATTCATAATTGCAAATATACATGGGGTGATTACTTTTAGTTTGTGCTATATTCCTACCAATATATTTCTCCCCCTCTTTCTGATAACCGAATCTTTCTTTTGAATTAAACTCCAGTTATAATCCAAATGCAGTCAAACCCACCTCAGTTTTCTCACTTTTACATGGTTCATCTTGTGAACAATCCAAGGATCCTATCCTGTTGGCACTGGGGTTATACAACAATGAAACTGAACGAAATGGAGCAAACTATAGTCATCTCTAAAACTAGATCTATGGGAGTCTAGAGACAGGAAGGGAGTCAGAGCCTGAGAACAAAGCTGAAGCGTCTGGAATTACCAACGCCTGTATCCATGCTCACTACAGACTTTTCAGTTAGGAACTAGCAATAACTGTTTTTCTTTTTCTGTTTAAGCTAATATGGAAATTTCTATCACTACAGCAACAAAAGCCCTGAAAAGAGCTGGAGATGTTAAGTCAATAATATAGCACTTGCCTTGCATATTGTGAGTCCCTGGGTTCAATCCCTAGCAGTAGGGTCAAAAAAAAAAGCCAATACATGTTCTGGTCTACCTGTGAAATTCACCTATAGAATTTCCAATCTCCACACTTACTTTAAGGAAGAAGTCATTTGACGCAGTGGCCAAAAGAAGATGATTACTTTTGTTGGTGAAATGGCAGCAATTGACTTGCTCCGAGTGCTCATCATATATATGTACTAGCTTCCCAGTCGCAGAATCCCAGATCTGAAGAAAATAAAGTTTTATAAACATCATTATTTTCAAAGGGAGATGAGACAAAAAGCAAACGTCTATCACTGTGCAGATGTCATCTACTTTGTCAGAGAGACTTTTCCACTGGATATGACACTCTCCACTTCCTCTTCTCTAAAATACGGCAATATTCTGCCTCAACTCTCTGAAAAGTATATACATGTCTTTCTTTTTTCTGTTCTTTTTGAGACAGGGTCTCCCTGTAGCTCCAGCTGTCCTGGAACTCACTATGTAGACCAGGCTGGCCTTGAACTCACAGAGATCCGCTGGGATTAAAGGCATGCGCCACCACGCCTGGCTTATACATGTCTTTCTATACATAGCATAAATGAAATCTCGGGAAAATGCAAGATTTCCCATGTTCATATAAGACAGCCACAGAAAAGCACTGCATAGGGCCAGATCAGACTCCACACATGGTAGTGATACTCCAGCTTCTGGCATGCACAGCATCTTCTCATCCCTGTTCTTACTTACATCACTTTCACCCTTATCTGATCTCTGTTGCCTCTTGCAGAGATCACTCCTTTCAGCTCTGCCTTTTAACCCCCAGGGCAAGTGTTATGGGTTAATCATTTTCTTGAGTACATGTTACTGTTGAGATTCTTTTTTTCTAAGGCTATTTATCCTGGAGGCCCATGCTTCATTTCACTTCTCAGAACAATTAATGGCCTTACACACCAACTCTCTCTCTCTCTCTCTCTCTCTCTCTCTCTCTCTCTCTCTCTCTCTCTCTCTCTCTCTCTCTCTCTCTCTCTCTCTCTCTCACACACACACACACACACGCACACACAAAACAAACTCTCACACAAACTCTCAGTTGGGCAGAGTGGCACATATCTAAAATGCCAGTAACAAAGGAGGCTGAGGCAGGAGGATCTTACTATCAAGGCTAGTTTGCCTATATTGCAAAACCCTATCTTTAACCAATTATTTCTCCCGAACAAACTATTTAAATTGTTACACTTAATACTTAACTAGGAGAGAGAGAGAGAGAGAGAGAGAGAACTATAAAAGATATACCATGATGGACTTCAGATCAGAAGGATTAAATCCAAGAAGTCCTGGCTCATCTGCATCTTAGTTCCTTCCTCAGTAAAATGGTGATCTTGATTCATATGCTACATAACTCAACCTATCAAACAAAGTCAGGTATGAGGGTATATACCTATAATACAAGCATTTGACAGGCTAAAGGAGGAAGGTTGCCACAAGTTCAAGATCAGTAAATACCAGGCCAGCCAGGGTACACAACAAAATCCTGCCTCAAAACAGACAACCAATCAACCAACTAATTAAGTGGACACAAGGTAAGTGTAGACTACAAAGTATCACAAAAACAAGTAAAGGCATAAGGTTTGCACTCCATGGTTGGCTACTTGCCTACCCTGCAATAACTGGCTTTAGAATCTAAGAGAAACAGAGTTATCAATCCTGTTTTTATTTAATGTTAAGTGCCTTCATTTCTGAATCTGTTTCTTCCTCTGTAAAATCTGATCAATACTTCTCAAGTTGTGAGAAATTCACAACAAAATAAGTATGTAGTACAAGCCTTTCACAATAAAACCTAATCATTCCTGTTACTGCGTAAGAAAACTACCAGGTCTGTCCCATACAATAGCAAACCAAAGAAGTAAACTACCTAATAAATCTTCACCAGGACTTCTTAGAGACAGCCATGTTCCCTCCCATAGCATTTTCTCTGTGTCTAATCAAAGCACTTCTGAGAACCCCCAGAGATCCAAAGAGTTTATCTTATTTTTGAAGCTCTTTAGTGTATTTCTACCCGCCCTCCTTTTTTTTGGTCTTTTTCAGACAGGATCTCTCTGCAGCCCCAGCTGTCCTGGAGCTCACTATGTAGACCAGGCTCACAGAGATCTGCCTGCCTCTGTTTCCCAAGTGCTGGGATTAAAGGCGTGCACTACCACGCCCAGCTTGCCTCTTTTTTTTATATTTTAAGTTCTGAGAAAACAGAAACTCAGCACTATTTCTTTTTATTCCACTGTTCTGATTTTCGAACTTAGAACTGCCCAGCATGCCTAATGCCATCTCTGACTCAATATAGGCTACAGAATAAATTAACTGCAGACTGTAACACCACTGAGTCTATCAAGAAAAGGGGAAGAGGAAGGGGATCAGTGGGAGTGGGAAAGAGACAAGAGAAGGTAATGGGGGGTATAATGAAAATACAATATGGGGGGAGGGCAAATGATTGAAATAAATTGAACACATGTATGAAAACCACATAATAAAAACCATTATAAATAATATATGCTAATAAAAACATTCCCAACCAGGCATGGTGCACACGCCTTTAATCCCAGAACTCTGGAGGCAGAGGCAAGCAGATCTCTGTGAGGACAGCCTCGTCTACATAGCAAGTTCCAGGCCAGCTGGGGCTACAGGGAGACGCTGTCTCAAAAAAAATAAACAAAAAAAAAAGTTTTCCCAAAGTCTCAGCTCTAGTTTGGACGTTCCATTGTCCTTTCCAATGGCTAAAAACTCCAGGAAAACTCCTGAACCAACCAACCTTCTTACCCACCTTGGCTACCAAAATTCAGCACTCTATAACTCCTTTGAGAAAAGCCTGTAGTGAAGAGGGCATGATGGCACATGCCAGTAATCCCAGCATTCAGGAGGCTAAAGCAGGATGTCTTACATTGAGTTTGAGGTTAGCCTGGGTTATATAATCAGATTCTGTCTCAAAACACAAAATAGAAAACAAAAACACATACCAAAAGCAAACAACACACCCTTAAGTGAGGCCTCCACATATTAATGATAAAACATCTCCTACATCTTCGGTTTCTCTTAAATTTATTAGTATAAATGCTCTAAGAAAAGATAAATTTGAAGGGCAACCCAAGAAAAAGTAACTAACAAAGGTAAAAATTACCCTTTTTTCCTTTGCTCGATTTTTTTAGACGAGTAATAACCTGTTAGTATATTCACCTGTCTGGTTTTGCACTGATTATATAATCCAACTTAGAAAGTTTTAAAAAAAGAGGGAGCTGCATTTCACAAACTACCTACTTTACAACAGGAACTGGATCGCAGACAAAATTTCATAAAACACTTCTAATCAAAGCTGTCAACTGATGTTTAATCCATTTATATATATAAAACATATACATGTACATATATATGTAATACACACATATATGCATAATATACATATACATGTATACATTATATATTAATATATGTATATAATATATATACATATGTGTACATATATACCGTGTGTGTATATATATGGATATATAGCAAATTCATTGATTTATCATTATTTTTCCCCATCATTTGGTTAAATACCTCAAGCTGATCTACCTATTTTTCTTATACATAAGAATTTTCAGGGTTGGAGAGAAAGTGCAATGGTTAAGAGCACATATTGTTCTCCCAAAGGACCAGAGTTCAGTTCCCAGCACCCACATCAAACAGTTCACATCAGACAGAACCACCTGTAACTCCAGCTCCAGGGAATCCAACAGCTCTCTTCTGGATTCCATGGGTACCTGTACTCAAACATGCACAGACCCACATACACATAATTTTTAAATAAAAGTAATTTTCAGATAAGGCTGGGCATGGCAACACACCTTTAATCCCAGCACTTGGGAGGCAGAGTCAGGTGAATCTCTGTGAGTTCAAGGCCAGCTTGGTCTACACAGCAAGTTCTAGACCAACCAGGGCTACACAGTGAGACTCTCTCAAAAAACAAAACGGAAAGAAGGAATGAGGGAGAGAGGGAGGAAGAAAGGAAGGGAGGGAGGAAGGAATTTGAGCTGGCAAGAGTCCTTCAACCCCATGTACTGTAGCCTGTCTAAAAAGGAAAAAGAAAAGAAATTGTGATTTTCACAAGAAGAAAATGATTTCTTTCCTACTTTAACTTTTTTATCCACTGAGCAGGTTGCTATAAAACTGTCATCTGTAGAGAATGCACAACAAAGCACTTCATCTTCATGAGCCTTGATTTCAAGAAGTTTCTCTCCTGTTTCAGATTTGAACACCTGCACAAAAAAACAAAAAACAAAAAACAGCAAGATCTTTTTACTATAAATCATTTATCTATAGCTACCAGTCAATAAAAATACATCTTTGAAATTTCTTCACCACTGATAATTCCTTTTTAAAAAAATTTTTAATTTATTTTTATTTTATGTGTGAGTGTTTTGGATGCATGGAAGTGCACCTGTGTCGTAAAAAGCCCAGAAAAGAGGGGAGAGAGGGCTCCTGAGGCTGGAGAGATGGCTGAGAGGTTAAAAGTACTGGTATTCTTGCAGAAAACCTGGGTTCAAATCCCAGTACCCACTTGGCAGCTAAGAACCACCCATAACTCGAGTTCCAGGAGATCCAGAGCCTTCTCTGTCCTCTGCAGGCAATGCATGACACAGGTGCACTTACATAAAGACAATACACTCATACACATAAAAAATAATTTTTTTATGCTAGATCACAATTTTATTTTTGTTTAACTTGAAAGGTAAAATAAATTGTCACTTAAGAATTACTCATGATACAGGGCTGGAGAGATGTCTCAGTGGTTAAGAACACTGAATGTTCTTGCAGAAAACCCAGGTTCAGATCCCAGCAGAACCCTATCTATTGTGTGAGGAAGTCAGTATATCATTTAAGAATGGTCATTTTGGGGACTGGAGAGATGGCTCAGTGGTTAAGAGCACTGGCTGCTCTTGCAAAGAACCCAGATTTGGTTCCCAGCACCACATGGCAGCTAACAATCATCAGTAACTCCAGTTCCAGGAGATCTAACACCCTCTTCTGGTCTCTATAGCCATTGCATGTATGGATGCACTTAAATACATGCAGGCAAAACATTCATATACATAAAATAAATAAGTCAAAAAAAAATTTTTAATAATTTTTTAATTAAAAAAGAACTGTCATTTTCTCATTACCCATAACTGGCAAATGAATGGCAAGTAACTGTCAAGGTAAAAGCTCTTCTTTGCCACCTGGTAAGTTCAGCACTACAAAAAAAAAGTCTATCTTTAAAACCTATTTAGAAAAAAATTGCAGTGAACATTCAAGAAGTTTAAATTTCTTTACTGCTGAATTGGAATTTTCTTAAATTTCAGTACTTGCATATATTCTAATCTGCAGGAGATTTGGGTACGTGCCTATTCTAGTTGTTCTCAGACATGCCTTACCTGTAAGGTTTTATCAGCTCCACAAGAAGCTATTCTCTGACCATCCTGAGAAAAACATGCATGGTAAACAGCATCTGTATGGGGGCGGACAACTAAGCAGGACAGATTCTTGATGGTCTTCTTGTTTCTAAATGCCAAGTAAAAATGAACAGAAATCCAAAGAGTGAGGGCAAAAGTAACTGGGTTTGTTTTTTTTCTTTTTCCATAATAAGTATCTTTTAAACAGGGTCTTACTCTCCCCAAAACAAAATAAAGTAGGGGCCCAGGCCTCAGCAGACTGCCTGAGAGTGCCTGGATTCAGCCTCTAAGTGGTGGTGAGCTTCCCCAATTCAAGCTGTGCCCAACTCCCTAGTCGGGCACCTCCCACTTTGCTAGGGCCAGACCTCTGCCATATAGTAGGGGCTGAGACCTTGGCAGACTGCCTGAGAGTGCCTGGATCCAGCACAACCACCTATAAGTCCAGTTTCAGGGGATTCGCCGTCCTCTAGCCTCCATGGGCACCCACACACATGGTATACTTAAACTCATGCAGCCTCTCACATATATACATAGTTGAAAATAAATAAATCTTTTATTAAAATGTTTCCAAAGTAGTTAAATCTTCCTGAAGTAAGCTTATCCACTAACTGAAAAGCAATAATACAGTTAGCAATCCAGTCCTCTGGTTTCTCTCCTAGCCTACTTACATCCACTCCAGGTAAAGCATTCCATTGTCCACCTCCTGTTTGGCCTGCAGTTTTGCTTGCTGATAAACTTCTGAAGTTTCTGGTTCACAGAGACCCAGTTGTACAATATTAGGAAATGGCTGCCGTCCAAGAAGGTGTCCATTTAAAGATAAGAACTCTTGAAAATTCTCACAGACTGTATAGTCCTGTGAATAAACTGAAATCTGTTAGACATTATAACCAGAACAAGACCTGATATTTTTCTGTTGCTGTGATCTTGCAATTTTAAAACTTAAATATTTTCTGGGGCTAGAGAGATGGCTCAGTGGTTAAGAGCACTGACTGCTCTTGCAGAGGACCCAGGTTCAATTCCCAGCACCCACATGGTGGCTATGAACCGTTCTTAACTCCAGTTCCAGGGAAATCCGAAACCCTCTCCTGACCTCTGCAGCATTGCACAACATGGGTGCACTCACATACATGCAGGCAAACTAAAATTTAGCAATTAGGTAATATTTCCTATACAAACTAAAATTTAGCAGTTAAGTAATAAGTATACAGTGATTCTCTACTGACTCCTAAACACAGAATAAAAATCTCAGCATCAACACATTTCTCAGGACCTACCAAAAGCAAACAAAAGAAACTGAAACTTTTCTTACCCAACTTTCACACTTCATTTCAACCCATATTCCCAGTAGGCTAGGAAGCAAATTCATCAGAGTAATCAGGTCAGTGGGAAAATAACCTCTATTGGATTCTGCTGTTCTGCTCATTTCTATCAGCAGGCTAGAATTAAATGTCAAAATGAGACATCCTTTACACACTGTTTTCACACTTAATATATACCTTTTCATCCAGTATATGCCTATATTCCACGAATTCATGAATCAAATGAGCAGGGCCTACAAGTTCTGTTTTTGCTTTAATCCAATCCAGAGAAAACATTAAAGCACAAAGTTCCTTAAAAAGAAAAAGAAAAAAGAAAAACAGGAGTGAGATGGAGCACTGGAACATCAAACATCATTAACCTAACACTACTAAGAGACACTTTGCAGGTATCTAGAATTTAAGACAAAAGGGAAGTTGGTAAAAAAAAAAAAAAAAAAAAAAAAAAAAAAAAACACACTAGGGGTTGGCGAGATGGCTCAGCGGTTAAGAGCACTGACTGCTCTTGCAGAGGACCCGGGTGCGATTCCCAGCACCCACATGGCGGCTACGAACCATCCTTAACTCCAGTTCCAGGAGAATCCGAAGCCCTCTTCTGACCTCCGTGGCACTGCACAACACAGGTGCACTCACACAGATGCAGGCAATACACTCATACACATAAAATAAAAATAAAAATAAAAAAGAACACACTAGTAATTCCAAAGACATAAAATGAGTTCTGCATCTTAACTCAAACTTTAGTTATATAAAGTATTTAAATATAAAGCAGAAAACTTAAAAATTTAAGCTGGATCCAGATAAATATTTTTGTAACCCTGACATTAATAAGATCTTTGCAATCATGACATCAAAGCAAAACACAAACACATGTACAAACACATGCGCGCACACACACGTGCATTTAACTTGATAAAAATTCAAATATTCTATATAAGAGGAATATAAACAAAACTTTAAAAAATACAGGAATAAACATTTATATACATTTAACAGAGGGTCTTTATAGAAAATCACAATGAATTAGCAAAAAAAAAAGATAAAACACACCAACAGGAAAAAAAAAAAACAGGTAAAAAAATAAGGCGCCTCAGATGTGATGGCTCCTATCTGTAATCCAAGCACTTAGGAGGCTGAGGCAGGAAGATCAAAAATTCAAGGCTAGTATGGGCAAAGACCTGATATCAGAAACAAAAACAAAAACAGAATGAGAGTCACTTCACAAAATAAAACATATATATAGCTAAAATTTCACCAGTAATAAAGAGAAAAATAAAGATTTACCATTCTAAGACTAAAGGAATGACAAGAATATTAGCTATAGTCAGCTATAGTCATATATATGATATATAATAGCTATATTATATAATATATATAATACATATTACATATATACATATATATAATAATAGCTATAATCAGACAAAAAGAACAGTCTCATCCACTAGTGGTAGTGATGCGAAAGAGTCCTTGCAATCTGGCAAACTGGATTCAAAGTTAAACTCTATATATCACTAACACAGAAATTCCATTTACAAAACATAGCCTAAGAAAATAGCAAGGTACGTATATTTCAATCTTAGCACTCAGGAGGCAGAGGCAGGTGAATATCTGAGAGTTTTGTGGCCAGCATGAGGAGACCCTGTCTCAAAAAAAAAAAAAGAGGCACTCAGGAGGCACAGGCAGGCAGATCGCCTGTGAGTTGAAGGCCAGCCTGGTCCACATAGTAAGTTCCAGGTCAGCTGGGGCTACAGGGAGACCCTGTCTCAAAAAAGACCAAAAAAAAAGAATAAAGATTAAAGGGAAAATAAAATAAAATCTGTTACACTGTCATTAATATCAGAAACTTTTTTAAAAATTCATTGACCCAGTAATTCCAAATACGAAAACTTTCCAAGGAAGCAACAGAAACACAATAAAAAAAAATAAAATTCATTTTAACATCATGACAAAAAACTGAAAAGAAGCCAGGAGGGGTGGTGCATGCCTTTAATTCCAGCACTTAGGAGGCAGAGGCAGGCAAACCTCTGTGAGTTTGAGGCCAGCCTGGTCTACACAGTGAGTTCCAGGTCAGCCGGGGCTACAGGGAGACCCTGTCTCAAACAGACCAAAACAAAACAAAGTAAAACAAAACAAAAAACTGAAAAGAACTGAAAGACTGAATAAGAGTTTGGTTCAGTAAATTAGGGCACATGATCATATACACCTCCCTCCAAACTTTATGTCCTCTCTTTATTATTTATAATACTGAGTCCAATTAGTGTTGCTCATATGTGCATGGGTGTGGGGCTATCCTCTCTGGAATGGGAAATCTATCAGTGGCCATATCCCCAAAGAAAATGAGCTCTCCCTCCCCCAGCAGCTGTAACTGTTGGTAGCTCCTCAGCTAAGAGTAGGGCCTTGGTAGCCCCTCCCCTATCCATGCTGGAATTTTAACCGATCTTATGCAAGTCTTATGCAACTAACCACAGCTGCTGTTGAGTTCATGTGCACAGCAGTCATGCTGTGTCCAGGAGACAGCATTTCACAGAGTGATTCCTAAGTCATAGCTAAATGCCATCTATCTATTGATTCTCAATTTGTTTTCCCATAATTACTCTCAGAATTCCACATTCATCTATCTAACTGGCTATTCAATATCTGCAATCAGAGGACTTAATGGTTAGGTATATCAGGATTAAAATATTCAAAGTCAGTAACTAACCTTCCCCTTTCCCTCAGACTTGCCAATTTCACTTCACAGCAAGCCCAATCATCCGCTGCACAAGCTTACAGTCTTTGATTCTTCTTTCTTTTTTTAAAATGTATTTTATTATTTTTATTTTATGTGTGTGAGTGTATTGCCTACATGTATGTGAGTGCACCTGTGTCATGCAATGCCACAGAAGTCAGAAGAGGGCTTCGGATTCCCCTGGAACTGGAGTTAAGGACAGTTCATTGCTGCCATGTGGGTGCTGGGAATCGCACCTGGGTCCTCTGCAAGAGCAGTCAGTGCTCTTAACTGCTGAGCCATCTCTCCAGCCCCGATTCTTCTCTTTCTGTTATAGTGTACACCAAATCCATCAGCAAGTCACAAATCTTCCCTGTATGATCACTTTCTTCTCCTATGACTTGCTCACTATCTTATTTATTATCAATTGACTGTCTTCCCCAAGGATGCAAGCTCAAAGAGAGCAGAGACTTTTTTTCTCTGGTATATATATGCTCATAATGAAGAAGAATACCATTCTATAAGTACCACTGTAAGTACTCAGTAAATGAACGAATGCACGTTCCCACCCTCCATGTCCACCTAAAGCTTATAAACAAATCCATACTGCAAATAAAGAAGAGCTACAACTAAGAAGAGAAAATGATTCATCTGCTGCAGTTACTAAGATACCTTCTGTAATCACTGCAGGGAAAAATGGGAGGAAAAAACCTACACAAGCTATATTTTTTACTAATTAAAAAAAAAGAAGTCTAGGGCTGGCAAGATGGCTCGGTGGATAAAGGAGCTTGCCATCAAGACTGACTGACAACCTCAGCTTGATTCCTGGAACCCACATGGTGGAAGGATAAAACCAACTTCCTTAAGTTGTCCTCTGACCTCCACATAATACCACAGCGTGCCTGCACCCATATACATACACACAATAAGATAAACAAATAAATAACTCCAATTCTAAAAGTCTAATAGTAGGATAAAGCATGACAACAAAGAAAAATTTTAAACAGTGCATTTAGCTATGTAAAAATTCAAATCTCCAAAACAACAGAAAGCAATATAAATAAAATTTAAGAACTAACCCAAGAAAAAACATTTGCAATATATACAGAAAAGGAGAAATAAAGAGTTTTCAAATGTGTCATCTTACTTTGTGCATATTGGCACTGGCCATGTGATAGGCCAGAAAGTTGTACCAATACATGCAGTCCTCCTGATCTGCAGAAAGCGTATGCAGCTGGTAATGCCTCTGAAACTGAGTGATCATCTTCCTATGGAGATCCTAAAACCCAAAGTCAACATTTCAGAAGACAGAAATCATCTGATAACCAAGCAGCACAGTACCTCCGGCTTCCAACACTATTTAGAAAACATGGGGAATCTCCCCACAAGCTACTTTGTTACAAAAGAACACACAGTAACTTTACAGTGAAGAAATTAAGTGAATACTTCTTTGATCAGTCAACATGTACATTATCCAGGCAACACCTAAAGCCCAGGCCCTGACATGACGCCACAAGGACGCAGCATCATTTCTGTGATAATCTGGTCTGATAGGTATAACCTCAATCCTGTCAGGAAATGGCATCAGACAAAACCAGATTAGGGGTCACTGTACAAATTAACTGGTCAGTACTCTTCAAAAGTGTCAAGGCTGGGCTATCACATAATGTACAGCACTTGTCTAATATGCATGAGGCCCTGGATTCAATTCCCAGCATGAAAAAAAAAAAGTTGACAAAGCCACGTAAAACAGTGAGGGAACTTCACAAATTTGAGACAAGGATAACCAGGAAAACAGGAAAATCAGATCGATAGTGCATGGGGTTCTGAACTGGATCTGGACTATAGAAAGAATACTGGAGAAGAGATGCCAAAATTCCAATTTGTGGATTGCTTAATAGCATACCAATGACAATTTTCTGGCTTTGACAATCATAGTTATATTAAGATGTTAATAATAGGGGAAACAAAGCAAAGGTTTATACAGAGAAACACTGTAGTACACTGTATATTCAAGACTAAAATCAAATTTCAAAATAAAAAGTTAAGAACACATGTAAGGAGATGTGAGTACCTGAAGTTGACTGTGATTCTTCTCTGCAAGAAAATCTACTTGAAGATCATGTAAATAATAGCAAAATGACTTTCCATTCCGATCGCAGAATAAGAGAGACTTGTTAACAAATTCCTGCAGTATGTCCTCAACCTCTTCAGTTTCCATGTCCCAGAGAACACATAATACCTAGGAAGAATTGTTAACCATTTAATATGCCTCAAAAGTACAATGAATAATACTGCAGACAAAGCATTTTGGTCAAATATTGCCTTAAAGCCCCAAATATGCCTCTATTTCATAACAACTACTTCTCAAAATAAAAAAAGAGACAGAGAGCAACTGGATGCATCCCCCATTTCCCTAGAACCACTGAGAAATAATTTGCAAACTCGACATAGAGCCCTTTTGGACTAAGGACAAAGGCACTTCGGTTCCCTCTACATACCACCTCAGTTCCACAGGTCTTAACCTTCCACCATCCTCTACAACAGTGTCCTCAGTACAATTATCAAAGTTCATATGCCATAACAACCAACGTTAAGGAATGATGGTCTATCCAGTACCTTTGTAGGCACCTTGACATCTTTCTGAAAGATGGAAAGATCTGTGTAGTAGTCTTTGATATCTTCTCTGAGCATGTCAACACTTATAGACATGGCTTCATCCAGAGCCTCATAATCATAAGACGAAGATTTCCTTATTCTCTTAAACTGCTTATTCTGAAGTTGCCTGAGGTAGTACGCCCATCGATTGGGAAAATCACGCAGAAGTGCACCAATTAAAGACACTACAAGAGGAAAACCTGGAGGAAAAAAGTGACTATGCTAATACCATCTTATTTTTCAATCATCAGTAAAAATTTTTTATACTTAGTTGTGCGTGTGTGTGTGTGTGTACATGGATGTCAGAGGACAACTTGAGGGAGTCAGTTCTCTCCTCCCACCACGTTAGCTCTGGGTATCAAGTTGTCAGGCTTGGTGGCAAGTGTCTTTACCTGCCGGGTCATCTCACCAACCCAAGAAACAATTTTTTTTTCTTTTTTTAAAATTTTTTTAAATTTTATTATTTTTATGTGTATGCATGTATTGCCTGCATGTAGGTAAGTGCACACGTGTCGTGCAATGCCCGCAGAGATCAGAAGAGGCTGTTGGATCCCCTGAGACTGGAGTTATAGACAGTTGTTAGATGCCATGTGGGTGCTGGGATTCGAACCCCGATCTTCTGCAAGAACAACCAGTGTTCTTAACTGCTGCACCATTCCCCCAGCCCCCAATTTTTTTTTTTCTTTTTTTTTTTTTTTTTTGGTCTTTTTGAGACAGAGTCTACCTGTAGCTCCAGCTGGCCTGGAACTCACTATGTAGACCAGGCTGGCCTAGAACTCACAGAAGTCTACCTGCCTCTGCCTCCCAGTGCTGGGATTAAAGGTATGCGCCACCATGCCCAGCCAAGAAACAATTTTCAATGCATGTTATCTAAAGCCTTAAAATATTTCCAACTCGGGGCTGGAGAGATGGCTCAGTGGTTAAGAACACTGACTGTTCTTGCAGAAGACCCGGGTTCGAATCCCAGCACCCACATGGCAGATAACAACTGTCTATAACTCCAGTTCCAGGGGATCCGTCAGCCTCTTCTGTCCTCTGCAGGCAATGCATGACACAGGTGCACTTACATACATGCGGGCAATATACACATATACATAAAAATAAAATAAAATAAAATGCCTAACCAACATACTCACTGGCCAGTCCAATAGAGAAATGTCTTCAATACTGGCTCCCTCTTCCCAGGTGTGTCAAGGTGACAATGAAGTCACCAGCGGCACATGTATTACAAGCAACATGTCCGTGCATACCAGACACTGAAACCTGAACTTGCTGCTGTGGTAGGCAATGGTGGGACACTTGTTTCCCTTAAAATAACTTGCTGACCAGCAAGTCAGTGGACAAAGTCCCGGGAGCTTGTACCTAGTCCTTAAAAGATTTTAGGGTTACCTCTTCAGAGGGGGGAATGTTGGAGGGGAGGGAGTGGGCATGGATTTGATCAAAACATCTTATATGCATGTATGAAATTCTTAATAAAATGTTTGAAAAAATTTTTTTTTTAAATTTCTAACTCCTGGATTTACTTCTAAGTGTCTCTTCTAAGGAAATCATTAGAAATGAGAAAGATTTCGCTTACAGATATTCGTATTATTTGCTCAGTTTATTAACATTATTCTTTTTGTCCAAGCCCTTTGCTACACAGCTGTCTGTACTTTAGTTATGCCTATGAAGTTTCCATTAGCAATCCAAAAGGACAGGGTTCACAGCATCCAGAAGGCTCCTGAAGGGCGGCACACTTCAGGCAGCACTGGAAGTTCACCCTCCTTCTCCAAACTTGTCCTATGCAGCTTCTCATCTGTGCCTTTGTAGCACCCCTTACAGTAATATCTTTCCCTGATTTCTAAGAGCTACTCAAGCAAATTAATCAAACCCAGGCCAGTGAGATGGCTCAGTGGATAACAATGCCTGCTGCACACCTGACAACCTGAGTTCAATCCTTTGGCCCCACATGGTAGGAGAAAACTGATTCCTGAAGATTGTGCTCTGACCTCCACATGTCACACAAAATAAGTAAAATAAAGTTTTTTCAAGTAATCAACCCCAATGGCCAGGCACAATGGCTCACGCCTTTAATCCCAATACTTGGGAGGCAGAGGCAGGTAGATGTCTGTGAGTTCGAGGCCAGCCTGATTTACATAGAAAAGTCCAGGCCAGCCAGGGGGCTACATAGTGGGACCCTTTTTAAAAAAAAAAAAAAAAAAAAAAAAATCAAGCCTGAGGGGTTTATGGGAACCTTCATTTATAGCTTCGGGGTCAGAATCATAGGTAAATTACTGAAGCTGGAGGCAGAGAGAGGTAGTCTTGAGGACTGAACCTTCAACCTGTAGGACTAACACTTTCTCCAGGTAAACAGCATAAAATTTAAATAAAGGGACACTTTTCGGGTTGAACGCTGCAGAACAGGTTCCATGCTTCCAGTGGAAGGGAAACTTCTAGACATGTGGTATCAGGACTGCTCTGTGCTGTCATACTATAGAGAGAAAAACTAATTCTGAGACTGTTCCCCTATGTCCTCCAAACAAGTAAAAAGTTTTACTTCACTAATAAAAAAGGCAAATTTGGAGAATAACTTCATTTACTTATCAAATTAGAACATTATAATTATTTATAAAATTCCTAACAAAACATTTTTTAAATCTTGAGGTTCATTAACAGTTTTCACTGTTTGATAGTAGAGGTCTTTACTTCATTTCAACCCTTCTCATAATGTATTCTTTTTTAAAATTATTTTTTAAGTTTATGTGTATGAGTGTCCTGAGTGAATGTATGTTAACATACCCATATGTGTAATGCTCAGAGAGGAAAGAAGAGGGTGTTGGATCCCTTAGAACTGGAGTTATGGATGGCTGTTAGCCGCCATTTGGGTGCTGGAAACCGAACCCCAGTCCTCTGCAAGAGCAGCCAGTGCTCTTAACCATTGAGCCATCTCTCTAGCCCCACTAATGCATTCTTTAACATACGGTAGGCACATGTAACATTATTTTAGTGAATGACTATCAAAATAGTTGTTCATTTACAGTATCAGAGGTAAAATATTAAATATCATAAAAAAGGCTTCAGATGTTCACATGCTAAATTGTCACATTCATTAGTTTAACTTACAAAAGGAGTATAAGTATTCCCATAACACCCCTTCAACCACAAGTAAATACACATACCTTTGCATTCTTTTATAATACTATGAGCTTCTACTGGCAAATCTTCTTTCTTCATATTAACAAAAAGGGACAAAATCTCAAGTCCTTTGTCTTTTCCCAGACTACTCTCCACAGAGACAACATATTTAGGACCTGAAGCAAAATTGTAACACACAGTAAGTAATTTGGTATGTCACATATTTAGATGCAACTGAATGAAAACAATGACTTTTAATTTACTATCTTTACTAAATATTAAAAAATAAATTAATAATCCTTACCCATTACTGAATCCGTAACACTCTTATCTCTAGTAGTAAGAAGAATCTGACACTGATTGTCAAAAGCTTTTAATACCCAAGGATCCCAAACATCATCCAAGATCAACAGAGACCTAAGTTAAAAAATAAAAATAAATCACTAATCACAATTATTTTACATTTTTAAAAAGAAATCCTAAGACAACAGGTAAGATGACACACTAGAAGATTCTGCTATGTGACTTCATGAATTACAAGAGTCAGGGTAACAAACACAAGACCATATTCCCAAGAGAAAAAGAAACAGGAAATAAGGGAGAGGTGACAGGACAGAAGAACAACAAAAACTGGAAACTGGACCAATGAGATGGCCAAGTCCGAAGACCCCACACACTGGGAAGAGAACCAACTCCCATAAGCTGTCCTCTGACATAAATGTCCAAACTCCTAAGTAAATTTTAAAAACAAAAACAGAATGTTAAGGCAGAGAAAAGTAGAGAATAGTCCCCATTTTCAACCACAGCTCCCTAAACTGGAGGGGAAACCAAATCCATGAGCCAGAGAGCCCCGAGGACAAAAGTCTGAAAATTCCAAACACAGAAGAAACCCACAGTTCTCCCAAGCCTAAAATCCAGTGTAATGACACTTCCTACACAGCAGGCTAGCACTGTAAAAATTAATTCCATCACTCCCCATATCTTACAGTGCTTATAGCTTTTGTTTGTGACTGAGTTACTCTGGGGACTGAGATATAAGAAATAATACAAAGTCAGGGAGCCACTGAGAAGTTCAAGCAGTGGGGAAGTCTGACTGTGGAGAACTTGGTGGTCAGTGGCCCTGCCGTCTATCGAAAGGCAGAAGCCCTGCTGCCTACAGATTACTAAGAGACTAAGAGGGCACCCAGCCAGAGCTTCCTCCAAAGCTGTGGTTTGCTTCCAGGCCAGACTGGGAGTTCTGAGCACATTGCTGGGTTCCCACAGCCTCCTCCCTTGCTCAAAGTGGTTTACTGTGGAGGGTCAGAAAGGACCAAGGCCTGTCTCCTGCTCCAGTGCACTGCCGTTTGCTTCTCCCACTCTCTAACGCACTCAGAGGACACACTCAGCTTGGAAATTTGACACTCTTCAGTGCACAAACTAGAAGGCCTCTAGAGCAAGTGGGTACCTGCATGGTCAACAGCTATCTTTTTTTCATTTTATTTATTTTTTTAAGTGTATAAGAGTATTGCCTGCATGTATGTGAGTGCACTCATGTTATGCAATGCCACCAAGGTCAGAAGAGGGCATTGGATTCCCTTGGAACTGTAATTAGGGATGGTTCATAGCTGCCATGTGGGTGCTGGGAATTGAACCCTGGTCTTCTGCAAGAAAAGAAATTGCTCTTAACAGCTGAGTCATCTGTCCAGCACTGACATGGCAGCTAACAACTTCATAACTCCAGTTCCAGGGGATCCAATGCCCTCTTCTGGCCTTCATAAGCATTGCACACACATGGTACATGTACATACATGCAGGCAAAACACTCATACACATAAAAACAAAAATCAACAAAAAGAGCAGAGAAAAATTAAAACTTTTAAAATAAAGCAATAATAAATGTGTACCATCAATTTTGTGTACCTCATAAAATTCTAGAGAATATGAACTGTGTAGAAATAAGAAAGATTAAAAAATAAGAAATGGGATGAGAGACAGAAAATAAGACAGGAACTGTCTTATGTGCCCAAGAACAGGATGAGGAAGCAGTGCAGTAGTACGATGGTGGACAGGTGTGCATGTGCACCCCAGTCCTCAGAAATATATGATTATAAACATATATTTTGCACTGAACACTGGTGCACCCAATTTGACAAAACAAACACTACTGAACATAAAGGGACAGACAGAACCAAATAACATAATAACACAGCGGATGACTTCAACAGCCTGTTCAAATCAATAAATAGATCACCCAGACCCTGGTAATCATTATGTTACTATTTACGATGAGATCAACTAGTCTTTAAAATTTGTGTGGTGTCTGTATGCATGTGTATACCCATGTGTAAGTGCATGTATGTATATGTGTTCATGTGTGTGCAGATGCACACGTATTTTGGGGTGCATGTGGAGGCCAGAGGTCAACTTTGAGTTGTTCCTCCAAGGTTGTCTACCTTGTTTTTTCAGACAGGGCCTCTCAATGGACTGGGACCCACCAATTTGACTAGACTGGATGGCCAGTAAGTCCCAAGAATCCCCCTATCTTGACCTCCCCTGTGCCATCAAGCCCAGCTTTTTACATGAGTGCAAGGGAGCAAATTCAGGTCCTCATGCTTGTAGAGCAAGCACTTTACCAACTGAGCCATCCCCCAGCCCCTATTTAACAATATCCAAAATTCCTTTGTTGATTGTTAGTTTTATTCCACTGTGATCCAAGAAGACATGCTGCCAGATATGGTGGCACAGACTTGCAATGTTCACATTTAGGAGGCTAAGTCAAAACGACTGTGAGTTCAAGTCTAGCAAGTTTGAGGCCAGACTAAACTATACAGTAAAATGTTGTCTCAAGAAAACAAAAAGATACCTGTTATGATTTCAATTTTTAAAATTTGCCGAGATTCATTTTTTAAAAAATTTTGTGTATTATGTGTGTTTGTCTTTATGTGGGTATGTGCACATTAAATGCAGGTGCCTGCAGAGGCCAGAGGTATGGGATTCCCCCAAGTTCTAGATTTACAGGCTATTGTGAGCCATCTGATGTAGGTGCTGGGAATTGAACTCTGGTCCTCTTAATCACTGGGTCATTTCTCCAGCCCTTCAGATCACTGAAGCCTAAGTCATGGCCTATCCTAAAGAATGCTCCATGTGTCAATGAGAAGAAAATGTGTTCTATAGTTGTTAGGCGAAATGTTCTACAAAAGTCCATTTGGTCTAGGGGATAATTTGACGCTGATGTTTCTTGGTTGATTTGTCTGGATGATCAGCCATTGATGAAAGTGAAGCACCAAGTCCCCAGTTGTTATATTAGAGTCGACCTCCACTTTTAGATGTGACCAGGTATGACAGTGTTGGGTGCACATATACTTATTTCTTGTTGTGTTAATGACTATGATTAGTATAATCATTTTGTTTCTATTTTTCTACTTTTTTTTTTTTTTGTCTTTTTGAGACAGGGTCTCCCTGTAGCCCCAGCTGGTCCTGGGACTCACTTATGTAGACCAGGATGGCCTTGAACTCACAGAGATCCACCTGCCTCTGCCTCGAGTGCTGGGATTAAAGGCATGCACCACCACACCCAGTTTTTTTTGCCATAAGGTCATTTGTATCTGATTTAAGTACTGCTGCTGACCTCTGGGTTCTCTCTGCATAGTGAATCTTTTCCCTTCCTTTGTATGCAGTCTACATGTGTCTTTACTGGTGAAATAGGTTTCTTGTTTTGTTTTTGGTTTTGTTGAGACAGGGTCTCACTATGTAGCACTAGTTGGTCTGACCAGGCTGGCCGTGAACTCACACATTTCCACCTGCCTCTGCCTCCTGAGTGCTGGGAAAAGGAGTCCGCCACTATACCCAGCATGAAGTAGATTTCTTTTTTCTTTTTTTTTTAAATTTTTTATTGAGTTTTTGTGATTTTTTTAAAAATATTTTACTTATTATTTTTAGCCCATGTGTATGAGTGTATTGCCTGCATGCATGTGAGTACGCCCGTGCCGTGCAATGCCTCGGAAGTCAGAAGAGGGCTTCGGATTCCCCTGGAACTGGAGTAAAAGACGGTTTGCAGCCACCATGTGGATGCTGGGAATCAAACTCAGGTCCTCTGCAAGAACAGTCCGTGCTCTTAACCACTGAGCCATCTCTCCAGCCCCAAGAAGTAGATTTCTTACAGACAGAATATAACTTGGTTTTTTTTTTTTGTCTTTTTGAGACAGGGGCTCCCTGTAGCCCCAGCTGTCCTTGAACTCGCTATGTAGACCAGGCTGGCCTCAAACTCACAGAGATCTGCCTGCCTCTGCCTCCTGAGTGCTGGGATTAAAGGCGTGCACCACAATGCCCAGCCCAATAATAGTTATCCTTTTACATCTACTGCAGGACTCCCTTAAGAATGTCATGTAGGGCCAACTGGTAAAACTATATTTGTTCTTCATTTTTGAAGAATAGCTTTTCCAGGCAAATTATTCTTAATTGGCAGGAGGTTGGTTGTTCAGGACTCTGAATCTATCATCCAGTCTTTTCTGGCTTATAAGATTTCTGCTGACAAGTCTGCCATTAGTCCAATTAGGATTTCCATACACACACACACACACACACACACACACACACACAAAAAAAAAAAAAAAAATTTTACTATATATATAATGATGTAAAGATTTTTCTCTTGTTGCTTTTAGAATTCTGCTTTTTCCATTTTTGGTCTGAGCACATTTTGTCTCAATTTTACATTTATCTATTATGTGTTTGTACAGGCACACAGGCTCATAACACAGCATGCATATGATGTCAAAGGACAACTTGCAAGAATTGGTTCTCTCCTTCTACCATGTGGGTTCCAGGATCAAACTCAGGTTGCATGGCTTGGAGGCAAGCTCCCTTACCCACTAAGCATCTCACAGCCCTGATTGCTTTATTTTTTTTATTTTTGTCTTTGTTTTTAAGACAGAATCTTGCTATGTAGTCTAGACTGTCCCCAGACTTGTATTCCTCCTGCCTCTACCTCCTCCAACTGCTGGGATTACAAGTACGCATCACAGCACCCAGCACAGGTTTTGTTGGAGGTTCTGTCTCAATGATAAGACAGAGCTCTATAGAGGGCACCCAACAACCTCTTCTGGCCCCTGTAGGCTCACATACATACAGGTACATGCACACACACACAAATGTACCACACACAAACCCCAGGCCAGTGAGTTGGTTCAGACCTGAGTTTGGTCCCCTGAAAACATGGATGAGGAAAGAACCAACTCCTGGAAACTGTCTTCTAACTTCCACATACATCTGCACTCACATATCACATATACACATATTTTAAATCTTAAAACAATCCTTTCAGCTAGGGATATAGCTTAGTGATAGAGCATTTCCTAGCATAGATGAGGTCTTGGGTTTCAAGCCCCAGCCCCACAAGAAAAAGAAATTCGTTCCTCTTTCTTTCCTTCCTTTCTTCCTTCCTTAGTCTTTTACCAGTTGCTTAGAAATACTATTTTTCTTGTGTGTTAATACATTAGAAACAGTGCGTTCAAAGAATACTTTTTTTTGCATTTTCTTGCAAAGACCATTCACCAACTGTAAATTATATTTCTCAAGAGCCTACAATGTAGTAATTATGACACAAAAACAGGCAATTTAGGCCACAAGACAGCTACTTTCTCTTTTTCAATAAGAGACAACAGCAGGAAAAGCAACAGCTCTTAGTCCTCCTACAGATGCAGACATCAGTAAAGTCTCATACTAACTACATTTGATCATCCGTACCTTGGGTGTTTGCGCAGCATCAGAATGCGGAGACGGTCTTTAGCCTCCTCGATATTAAGTGGAAGCCTCTGAGAAAAGCTCTCATCTTGATCCAATCGCGTGCAAAGATTCTGCAGTTTCATCAAAAGTCCAGATTTGTCCTGTTTTCCAACTGAAACCCAATGCACACCCCCTGGGAAACAACCTAATAAAGAATAAAGAATAAATGTAAGACCTCTGAACATGAGCTCCTTCTGAATGGCTCTGCTGTTAAGATTTGTGCCAACTGCCAATCTCGTTTCTTTACCTTCTCTTGATTAAAGCTATAAATTTTGATAGATGATAGGGCTGAGCTACAAAACCTAAATCTAAGAAAATGAAGATTTGAAGTTATGAGTATATCTGATGCTTTTAGGAAAATATTTTTGCTTTATCAAGCAAAATTTCAACATGTGATTCCAGTAATCATTGTATACAAGGGCCATTTCTCAATATCCTTGCTCTTAACATTTTGGGCTGAGCTATTTTTTGTTGCAAGGAATTTTCACATATATACAGGCTGATTAACAACCTCCTGGCCCCTAGTCTTGATTCTTGAATGCTACTAGAATTCTCCCTACCAGTACTGACAACTAACAATATCCCTAAACATTGTGAAATACCACTGGGAGGGGAGCCTCACCCTAGTTAAGAACAAATTTTTATAAACATATAACTCATTCATTATGGCTCTCAGAGTTTTTTAAAGGAAGTTAAGTTCAAGTACGGCTCCAGAGTTTACTAACTATGCAATTTTTAGCAAATCAGTTAACCTCAGCCTCATTTGTTCTACTGAAATAAGACTACTCCTACAAAGTTGCTAAGAGAAATAAAAAATATAAGCAAATGCCAGGTATAGTGATGCACACCTTTAATCCCAGCACCAGGAGGCAGAGGCAGAAGGATCTCTGAGTTCAAAGTCAGCCTAGTCTACATATCAAGTTCTAGGCCAGCCAGAACTACATAGTGAGACTCTGTCTCAAAAATAAATAAAATGCATATACACATATATATCATGCATAATTGCTATGGTAACTGTAAAGTGTTATAACAGGATTATCAGTGTTATGCTTCTGAGAGCACTTTATAAATATCAAGCTTTGAATTAGTAAGCACTTATGAAAATGCCTGCTATTATCATTACTGTTATCATAATTAAACAATGCATCTTAGACTATCAGGAGCCCATCTTCATAGTTAGCTCCACATCAGTTTTAACTTTCCCCATATACACCTAAAAGAGCTAGACATGGTGATGCATACCCATAATTTCAGCACTCAAGAGATTAACTCTGGAGGATCACAAGCTCTAGGCCAGCATAGCAAGAGTCTGTCTCAAAAAAATAAAAATAGGGGCTAGAAAGATGGCTTAGCAGTTAAGAGCATTGGCTACTCTTGCAAAGGACCCAGGTTCGAATCCCAGCACCATATGGTGGTTAACAACCATCCATGGCTCTAGTTCTAGGGGATTCAACACCCTCTTCTGACCTCAACAGGCTGCATGACACAGGTGCACTTACATACAAGCAGGCAATACATTCATACACATAAAATGAAAATAATAAAATTATTTTTAAATAAAAATAGCTGGGAACAGTGGCTCATACAATGCAATCCCGGGACTTAGGAAAACAGAAAATAGTAATGAGTACGTAGAGGAAGAGATGGGAAGGTAAACTGGTGGTACTACCATGGAAATTAATAAGGAGAGTCATCAAAAAATTACAAATAGAACTATCATATGCTACAACTATGCCATAGCTGGATATATATCAAAAGGATTCTAAGTTGCCATTTGCATCCATACTTATTTTTGCACTATTCACAACAGCCAAGATATGGAGCCAGTCCATATGTTCATCCACATATGAACAGATAAATAAAATGTGGTACACATATACAATAGAATGTAATTCAGCTCTAAAGTATGAAGTTATAACATTTATAGGAAAATAAATGAAACTAGAGATCAAGGTTTAAGTAAAGTAAGTCAGACCAAGAAAGACAAACATGACATTTTTCTCTCATATGCAGTGTCCTAGTTTGGTTTCCATTGCTGTGATAAAACACTGACCAAAAGCAAGTTGGGGAAGAAAGGGTTTATTTCATCTTCCTCTTCCAAGTGACAGCCCATCACTGAGGAATTCAAAGGCAGGAAATTTAGCAAGGCAGGAACCCCGAGGCAAGGGCTGAAGCAGAGACCATGGAGGCAAGCTGCTCCTGGCCTGTGCTCAGCCTGCTTTCTTATACAACCCAGGACCACCTGTCCAGGAGTGGCACCACCCACAGTGGACTGGGCCTCCCACATCACTCGACAATCAAGAAAATGCCTCACAGGCATGGTCACAGGCAGTCCAATAGAGGAAATTCCTCAATTGAGGCTCCCTCTTCCCAGATGTGTCAAGCTGACACTCTAGCACACGCAGAAACTAGCTTTAAATTTACAGGGCTGGCAAGATGGCTCAGTGAGTAAAGACGCATGTCACCAAGGCTGATAACCTGAGATGAATCCTCAGGACTCACATGGTGGAGAGAAACAACTCCCACAAGTTGTCCTCTGACCTCCACATGCATGTGTGCATGCAAATAGATGTAATAATTTTTTTTTTAATCCTTAGGGTGTTTTTGTTTGTTTTGAGGTGGCTGTTTTATTTTTTGAAACAGGGTCTCATTATGTAGCCCTCACTGGCCTCACTATGTAGATGGAACTCAGGTCATCAGACTTGTGCGGCAGCACGTTTTTACCTGCTGAGTCATCTTTCTGGCCCCCAGAATAATGGTTCCTTGTGATATTTTCATACATATGTATCACCATATTCCGTTCTTGCTCATGCCCTCCCTTTACCTTTACCCTCTCTACCCCCTTGATGGTCATCTTCTCCACAAATAATCTCTTTCTTCCTTCATTTCACTTATATTTCACTACCTTTCCATTCTTCATTTTCCTTCCCTTTAGATCTGTTCCTCTCCTCTTAAATCCCTCCCTTTTCATTTCATATATATACAGAGATATACAAATTTAAGTAACTAGCTGGGCTTAGCGGCACATGTGTTTAGTCTTACCACTTGGGAGGTAGAGGCAGGTGATTTTGAGTTTGAGGCCAGACTGGTGTACACAGTGAGTTCCAGGGCCAGGCAAGGCTAAATATTGAGACCCTATCTCAAAAGTAAATAAAACACAAAAAGCATTGTTAAAAAGAAGCCAATTGTTTTATGTGCTAAGTTTAAAAGAGAGAAAGAAGAATACACATAAAATAAAAATCAATCAAGAAAAAAATTTTAATAGCATTGGAGATGGCTCAGAAGTTAAGAACTACTCTTCCAGAGGACCCATTGGTTCCCAGCACCCACACAATAGATAACAATCATCTATAATTCCAGTTCCAAAAGAGCCAACAGCCTCTTTGGGACTTTACAAGTTTGCATGCACATGGTACACTTACATGCATACAAAATACTCATACACATCGATAAAACAAAAAAAAAATTTTAAGGGAAGGCTGAAAAGTCTGGTTTAATTAGCATGAACCTTAGAAGAAGGTAGACAAGAAATTCTACCACTGTACTCTTAGAAACTTCCAGAAGTTCCCTCCAACTTCCCTCAGAGTAAGTCAGCAGCTATGAATCAGTAGGTCCTGTAGCATCACTTAACATGATAGTTATGTCTATACACATAGTAGAAAATACACAGAAAACATTTTGAAAATTCATTCTAAACTGTTAACCAAAATTATCTTTGAGGCAAGATTTACAATTTAGAAGAGAGACTGGCAGGAGAATTTTACTTCTTTTGTTATTGCATCGTTTTTTATTGAACCTAGGCCTCATGCATGCCAAGCAAGCACTCTACCACCAAGCTAGCCCAGTCCTAGTTGGTTTTCTGTTTTGGTTTTGGGGGTTATTGTTTGCTTGCTTGCTTTGGTTTTTTGAGAAAAGGTCTCCCTGTAGCCCCAGGAGGCCTGGAACTCACTATGTAAATCAGGCTGGCCTCAATCTCACAGAGATTTGCCTGCCTCTGCCTCCTGAGTGCTGGGAATAAAGGCGTGTACCACCATGCCAGGCCTTATTGTTTTATTTAAACAGGGGCTTACTCTGGCACAGCCCAGCCTCAACCTCCAGGTTCTTGTGCTTCAGACTCCCAAGTGCTGCGATACAGGTGTGCACCTCCACACTCAGCTTATTTTTACTTCTTTTAAAATGAGAACTCTACTTTTGTAACTTAAATTTGTAACTAAAAATCTGGGCTTTCCGCCGGGTGTGGTGGCACATACCTTTAATCCCAGCACTTGGGAGGCAGAGGCAGGTGGATATTTGTGAGTTCAAGGCCAGCCTGGTCTACATAGTGAGCTCTAGGACAGCTGGGGCTACAGGGAGGCCCTGTCTCAAAAAGACAAAAAAAAAAAAAAAAAAATTTGTGCTTTCCACTTAAATTTTTAAAAATTATCACAGGAGGGGCTAGAGAGATGGCTCAGCAGTTAAGAGCACTGGCTGCTCTTGCAGAGGACCCGGGTTCAATTCCCAGCAACCAGAGGTAGCTAGCAACCATCCATAACTCAAGTTCTAAGGGAATCCGATGCCATCTTCTGACTTCAGCTGGCATCACACAACACGGGGGCATTTACACTACTGTAGGCAATACATTCATACACATAAAATAGAAATATTAAAAAAAATTACATGATTAAAGAAAAAGCAAACTATATTAATGCAGCTACCTAGTAAATTCTTCCACATTTTAAGTACTATTTTCCTAGGCTTTTCTATTCTAAATTTAAAACTACAACCTTAGGGCATTATGAACACGTGCAAGAAAAAGGAAAAATAAACACTACTTGCTTTAAAAAGAAAGGTAAAGAAACAGATTTTAAGTGACCAACTGATCTAAAATCTACTACCACCTTATAGCATTTAGTTAAATAGTGAACTAATATTTCCACGTTTTAGGAAGTGTCTAAACATCTTAACTATGGGCACAAGAGGGAGCAATTTAGCCTTGATTGAGGCTTGCACTTAATAAAATTCATTCAGAAAAATTTACCAGGGAAAAACTGCCTTTATTCATAGAAAAGAGATCCCATCCTATTTTCACATGAGGTTCTTCCTGGTAGCAATTAAAAATCTAATAGCAACAAGGAAATCTTGGGAAGGACAAAAACAAATAGGCAGACAGCTATGGAAAATGCTTCCATGTTTTAAAAACTCAGCACACAGTCAACAAGATGGCTCAGTAAGTGCACCTGCCACCAGACCTAAAGACCTCAGTTCAATTCCTAAAATCCACATGGTGGAAGAAAAAGACTTCCAGAATTGTCCTTTGAAATCCGCAAGCATGCACCTGTATGTACCTGTGACAGACACACACACACAAAATAAATGTTTTTTGTTTTTTAAAAAAAAAGCAAAACAGCATTGAGGGGCTACAGATGGCTCAGCTGTTAAGAGCATTGGCTGTTCTTGCACAGGAACGGAAAGCAAAATACTCCAGCACATAAAAATAATCAAAAAATGTTTTCTAAAAAGCACTGAAATACAATACTGTAAATGGTTTAAAGAAATGGCAACATTTTCCCTGTATGTAAACAAACTAAAGAGTTAAACTGTCAAAAGAAAACTAAATTATTTTAAAATGTATAGGCAGGCTGGCAGTAATAATCCCAGCACTTGGGAGAATAAGCAGGAGAACTGCCCATTTGAGAACAACCTGACAGTTAACATTGGTTGTCAACTTGACACCAAGGTGGGAAGACAGAACTTCAATTGAGAAATAAGTCTCCATCAGATTAGTCTGTGGGTATGTCTGTGGGGCATTTTCTTGATTGTTAATTGGTGTGAGAGAGCCCAGCCCTGTGTAAGCAGTGCCATCCCTGGGCAGGTGAGCCTGAGCTATATAAGTAAAGCAGCTGAGCCAGCCAGTGGAAGTAAGCTGGTAAGCAGTGTTCCTCCATAGTCTCTGCTTCAACTCCTGCCTCCAGTGCCTTGCCTTGAGCATTGTGACAGGAAAGGCAGAAAAATAAATCCAAAATGCAATAGCCTGTGGTAGGCAGAATAATGGCCCCTAAAGATGTCCACATCTGGGGCTGGAGAAATGGCTCAGCGGTTAAGAACACTGACTGTTCTTTCAGAAAACTCAGGTTCGAACCCCAGCACCCACATGACAGCTAATAATTGTCAGTAACCCCAGTTACAGGGGATCCGACAGCCTCTTCTGTCCTCCATGGACATTGCACAACACGGGTGCTCTTACCTACATGAAGGCCAATACATGCATACACATAAAAATGAAAATAATAAGTATTAAAACTTTCATAAAGGTCTTCATGCTGTCAGCCGGGCATGGTGGCACACGCCTTTAATCCTTGCACTTGGGAGGCAGAGGCAGGTGGATCTTTGTGAGTTCAAGGCCAGCCTGGTCTACATAGTGAGTTCCAGGACAGCCGGGGCTACAGGGAGATCCTGTCACAAAAAAGACATAAAATAAAATAAAAAGATGTCCACATCCTAGTCTACAAACTGGTAAATACTTTATAGTACATGGCTAAGGGGATTTTGGAGGTTTGATAATTAAGGATTTGGGGATGAGGAGATGATCCTGGATAAAGTAAACCCAATATAATCACAGGGCCCTTATAAGAGGGAGGCAAGAAAGTCTGAGTCAGAAAAAGAAATGTGAGGAACTAGGGATGTGACAGTAGTGGAGTGTGTGCCTAGCATGTGAGAGCCCTGGACTGGATCCCAGCATGCACCTACCCACACTCAAAGCATACAGAGAAAGTGATGAGACAGAAGCAAATCAGTATCAAAGAGAGATAGGCAGAAAGAGAAGGATTCGAAGATGCCACCCACTGCTGCTTTTGAGGAAGGGGCCACGAGCAAGCAAGTATAGGCTCCACTGGGAGACAGAAAATTCAAGGACAAGAATTTTCCCAGGTGCTTCCAGAAGGAATTCAGTCCTACTGACACTTTAATTTCAACCTAGTAAAAACCCTCCAGAACAGTAAGAAATATATGTTGTATTGTTTAAAGTCACTAAATTCATTGTAATTTATTTCTAGCAGCAATAGGAATGCCTAAAGCAACAATGCCTAAAGAATCCCAGTAATCAGTGGAAAAGAAATCCAGTGAGTAAAACTCACCCTCTAAGAGGGAATGATCTCGAACAGCTTCTGCAGCTAATACAGACTTGCCACAGCCTGCCATTCCATATATGGTGACCCATCCTGCTTCACCGTTCAATTTCAAGAGCTTCTGCTGAATCGCATTTACCAGCTTCTTCCTGGTCACAAAAATAACAGGCCTCTGTGGTACTCCACCTTCACACAGCACTGTCCTTACTGAAACACAAAACGAGCATAAATGAATAGACTTTGGAGTGACTTCCTTTGAATAATCCCATAACCCCCCCCAAAAAAAGCCAAAGTTGAGATCTTAGCCTCAAAATTTTTAAAGCAAATAACAAAATGTTACTAGAATATTAACTTCACCCTTCCGAGGTCTCAAAGCACACAGAACAAAAGCAAACATATATCCTTCAAGACAGCTGCACACAATGGAAGTCTCTGTCTATACCTACCTTACACACACTATTATTCCCTGGACCTCCAGCCTCCTTTGTCTTGTGTTGAAGACGAGAGAAAGCTGCAAGTATAGCTCAGTGATAGCGTGTGCTTAGTACATGCAAGGTCCTGGGTTTGATCCCATGCTCCACAAAAAGGGGGGGGGGGGGCAA